TCCATATCCTTGCCAATACTGTTATCTTTGATAATAACTATTCTAACAGGAATGAGATGATATCTTGTTGTGGTTTTGATTTACACATCCCTGATAATGAGTGATGTTGTACATTTTTTCATATTCCTGGCCATTTGTATGTCTTCTTTCAAGAAATGTTTATTCAGGTCCTTTGTCCTCTTTTAAGCCTGGTTACTTATTCAAAGGTTTACTATTGAGTTGTTTTGAGTTACTTATGTATTTTGGATTAATCTCTTACCAGATGTGTAATTTGCAAGTAAAGTGTTTTCTCCTGTTCTGTAGGTTGTCTCTGCATTCTGTTGTTTGTTTCTTTTTTGTGTAAAAGCTTTTAGTTTGTGATCCCATTAGTGTATTTTGCTTTTGTTGTCTATACTTTTGAGGTCATATCCAAAAAGTCAGCTCCCATTCCCATGTCTTAGAACTCTTTCCCTATTTTCTTCTGGTGGTTTCATAGTTTCAGATTTTATAATTTTTAGTGTAGAGGTCTTTCACTTCCTTGGTTAAAGTTATTCCTAAGTATTTCATTTTCCTGTAGCTATTGTTAATTAGATAGTATATAGACATATTACTGATTTTATATGTCTAATTCATATCCTATAACTTCACTGAATTCATTTATTAGATTTAATATTTTTGATAGAGTTTTAAAGTATTTTATCTATTTAAGACCATGTTATTTGCAAATAGTAATAACATTTGGATGCCCTTTATTTCTTTCTCTTGCTTTGTTGCTGTGGGTAAGACTTCCATTACTGTGTTGGGTATAAGTGGCAAAGTGGGCATCTTTGTCTTGTTATAAATCTTGGAGAAAAAGCTTTCGTTTATTCCCATTCACTATCATGTGAATGGCTGTGGGTCATTGCTGTGGGTTTGTCATGTATTATCTATTATTGTCTTGAGGTACATTGCATCTATACCTAATTTCTTGAAAATTTTTATTATAAAGGGATGTTGAATTTTGTCACATTTTTTTTCTTCCTGGATCAAAATACACTTCATGGATCTGTTGAAATGATTATACAGTTTTTATTCTTTAATTCTGTTAATGTGTTGTGCCACATTTATTGATTTGTGTATATTGAACCCTGGGACGAATCTCACTTGATTATGGTGAATGATCTTTTTAATGTGCTAGTATTCAGTTTGCTAGTATTTTGTTGAGATTTTTGCATCTGTGTTAATCAGGGATAGTGGCCTAGTTTTCTTTTGTTGTGTCCATATGTGGTTTTGGTATCAAGGTAATGCTGACCTTGTAGAATGAATTTAGAAGTATTACCTTCTCTTCAGTTTTTTGGGAATAGTTTGGGAAGGAATTGGTATTATTCGAATTCAGCAGTGAAGTCATAAGGTCCTTGGTTTTTCTTTGATGGAAGACTTTTTATTACTGATTCAATTTCCTTATTATTGGTCTGTTCAGATTTTCCATTTTTTTTTTAATAATTTCATCTTGATAGATGGTATGTGTCTTTTTACCAGTGAGTTTTATACTTTCAAATTCCCTTTAATATTTATTGTAAGACAGTTCTGGTGGTAACAGAGGAGAGTTTTTCTGGGTACAGTCTTCTTTTTTTAAAATATTTTTTTAGTTGTAGATGTACACAATGTCTTTATTTTACTTATTTTTATGTGGTGCTGAGGATCTATCCCAGTGCCTCATGCATGCGGGGCAAGAGCTCTACCACTGAGCCACAACCCCAGCCACCCCACCACAGTCTTCTTGATTGGCACTTTTTTGTCTTTAACACTTTGAATATAGGATCCCACTTTCCCCCTTTCTTGTAAAATTTCTACTGAGAAGTTTGTTACTAGTCACATTGTAACTCCTTCATATATAGTTTACTTCTTTTATCTTACCGTTCAAAATCCTCTCTTTATCTTTAGTCTTTGACAGTGTGATTAAAATATGTCATGGGATAGTCTTAAATTTTGAGTAAATATTGTTGGAGATTTTAGACCTTTATGTACCTGGATATTTAATTTCTGGGGATTGAACAAAGGGATGTTCTATCAGAGCTATATCCCCAGCCTAAGTTGCTGACACTGGCCTTGAATTTGTGATCCTCTTGCCTCAGCCTCCCAAGTTGGTGGTGGATTACAGGTGTCACCACCATGCCGGGATATAACCTATTTCTCTTTTTTTGTAGTTCCTTTTGAATACAAATGATTTATGCATGTGTTCTTTTGATGCCGTCCCATAAATCCTGTACTCTTGGAGCATTTCTTTTATTTATTTTTTCTTTTCTCCTCTCTATATTTTCGAATACCCGTCTTTGGGTTTATCCATTATTTTGCTTAATCAGTTCACTATTGATGCTCTGTTGCATTTTTTTTCATTTATTGTATTTTTCAGGATTTGTGTTTGTTTTGTTTTTTTTTTAAATCAATTGCTCTTTTAAATTTCTGTGACAATTTTCTGACCTTTTTGTTGTTTACAGAGCTTCCTTAAAATAGCTATTTTTAATTCTTGGTCAGGCTATTCATACGTCTCCATCTTATTAAGGTCAATCACTGACAACTTTTGTCCATTTGGTGATGTTATTTCCCTGATTGTTTTTGATTCTGGTCTGCATCAATTAAGTAGGGACTTATCCCAGCCTTGTACTCTGGCATTTTCTGGGAATGTCCTTCAATAGCAATCCCTAAACCCATGATTACTGCAGCTGTGGTAGTTATGGCCATAAGCCCTGGATTGCATGACTGGTGCAGAGTGGGCTGATATCCTGTGACTTCTGAGGCTGGCTCAACACTGGATTGGAATCCTATGATTGCTGAAGCTAATTCAGCACTGGGGGATACCAGAAACCTACTGTTGCTGAGATAAACCTGCAACTGAGATTTGTACTGAACTCAAGGCTTTTTCAGTAACTTGGTGCTGGTGGGCTACAACACAAGACCTTTACAGAGTTACCATCTGATGCCAGTAATATAAAAGTGTTCTTCCTACCCTCTTCAATGTGTCTATAGGCTCAGTCTGGGTATCAGCATGGAGGTCAAGGGCTGTCAAAGTCTGCCTGATGATGGGTTTTACTATTGGAGGCCCAATACTGAAGTCCTATGATTCCGACCTCTTCTTTTCCCAAGCAGATGGTATTTCTATCCGTGCTGTGCTGCTGCCTACAACTGGGGGAGGGGTGACACAAGTAATATAAAAGCGTTCTTCCTACCTTCTTCAATGTGTCTTTTATTATTATTATGCTATAACCAGATACTGAGATCTCTTACCAGATTTCTTTAGCTTTTGTGAAGGTAATTTCATGCATGAATAGTCATTCAAATTGATGGTTCTTCAGAGGGGTGATGACTGGAGAGTCCTCTTCCACCATCTTGCCTTACCCCACTCTGGGAACTAGACCCTAGATGCTAATCTATCAGGATGGGTTGTGAAACTACACAGGAATCATAAATTTGGATTCTTACATTATACAAGCCTGGAGTTTTGATTCTCATAGGTTCCTCCCTCCATCCCTCCAGTACGAGCAGGCCAGGTGTGAGGCATGAGTGGAGCTTTTTCAGTTCCCTTTTCACATACTGACCAGCCCTTTTCAGGATATTGTCTCAAAATTTTGGGTATTTTGTCTGCATAGCCCCAACATACTCCTGTAGACGGCCTTGGGAGTCAGCTGGAGCTTTTATCTCTGGCTTTGTGTTTCTCTCTCTCTCTCTCTCTCTCTCTCTCTCTGGTACCAGGGATTGAATCTAGGAGTACTTAAACACTTGAGCCACATCCCTAGCCCTTCTTTTTGTGTTTTATTTAGAGATGGGGTCTCACTGAGTTGCTTAGGGTCTTGCTAAGTTGCTGAGCCTGGCTTGGAACTCACTATCCTCCTGCCTCAACGTCACTGGGATTACAGACGTGCACCACTGTGTAGTTTTCAATTTCTTTCTTTCTGGCACTTGGGAATTTCCTTCTCCCTTCCTTCTTTTTGAAAAGGGCTGGGGGTATAGCTCTGTGGTAGAGTGTATGCCTAGCATTGTGAGACCCTGGGTTTGATCTCTAGTACTGAAAAAAAAAAAAAAAGCGGGAGCAGGATTTGAGGTTGAATTATATTATTCTCTTTTTGAAAATATTTATTTTTTAAATGGGTGATAGATACGTGGTTGTGAGCTAAAATTGGAAAGATAAAAATAGGTGTATGTGTCTTCTTTTGCCTTGTTCCTATACCAGTCCCATCCCATCGCCTTTCCCTAGAGATTGACTATACACTAATTTATTCCAAAAAGCAGTTTTAAACTTTATAAAGTAGTGATTATAGTTTAATTTCATAACCAATATTCAGGATTTTCCCCCATATTTTTAACAAGTGGTTATTGTGTTTTCTTCTGCTCTGAGAGCATGTAAGTGAAAACTTTATATTTCATTTCTATGTTTTTATGTATGTTAATGGATTATCTGTGTTTCAATCTTTGTTCACTTTAGAAACTCCTCAAAATGTGAATTTGACAAAAAAGCATAAATTAATGATTAGATTGTTTTATGTGAAATTTTAAAATAGTAGAACTTTAACCCTAATTTTTGGGAGGTAGTAGAAATTATATTTTAAGATATTGGATCTTATTTAAACACAATGCAGATATCCTTAAAAATTGTCCCAATTACTAACCAGTCCATGCTGTTGATTGCAAAGGTACAAATAATTGCTCAAAGTCAGAAGTCTGTCAAAGATAAAGGTCTCTGCTGGGTGTGATGGCAGCTTGGCAGCTAAGTCAGGAGGATTCTAAGTTCAAAGCCAGCCCCAACAATTTAGCTGGGCTCTAAGCAACTCAGTGAGACCCTCTTTCTAAATAAAAAAGGGGCAGGGAATGTGGCTTAGTGTTTAAGCACCCCTGGATTCAATACCTGGTACTGAAAAAAAAGATCTCTTTTGGGTTCCCTAGTCACAATTTATACCACTGATTGCCTAACTACAGCTTGGTGAAATTTAGTAAAAATTTAGGCTAGAAATTGAAGTCTTTTTGACATAATATGTTTTCTTCCTTAGATCAACCTCTCCACTTCTCCTACACCTGCACAGTTAATAAGCCGTTCCCAGGCTTCCAGTTCTACCAGCGGCAGTATTACCCAACAGACTATGTTATTAGGGAGTACCTCCCCTACTCTAACGGCGAGCCAAGCTCAAATGTATCTCCGAGCTCAAATGGTAAGATACGAGCTACCAAAGTCTTTCAGTGTTCAAGGACTTAGAGATCAAATGTTTCTTGATTTGATGCAATGAGGAATTTTTAATATTTAAGATAGTGCCTAACAATTTTGTGTATATGATCAGTTTCTTATACATTTATGAAAGTTATAAAAATTCTAATTTGAATTAATAATACTTCTTGGTAATAAATAATATTGTTAACTTTGGGAAGCTAACAGATTCTATGACATAAGAATGGTATTTTTTAATAAGTTTACCAATTTCAAAAACTTTTTTCACATTTTAACATCTCTGAAATTGCATTTTATCTTACACTTAATAATTACTACTTACAATGGTACATAAATTATTATATATTTTTGACATGTTAGATTTGATGAAATAGTTAGAAGTGTTAAAGCCTCATTATTAGCCATAAGTAAGAGGTTATATCCTGGGACTGTCTGAAATCATATTGGAGTGCCTATAATTTACCAGATGATTCTTAGCTTTGGTTATTCCCATCTCAGATTCTGTATGGTTGTATTATTAGGCTTACTTTGATTTTTTTTTTTTTTTTTAATTAACACAGGAATGTGAATTTGGTATTCTGTGATTGGGTACATACTGTTTTTTCTAATTTAATTGTTGAGCTTCTTTAAGGAATGTAGAAATGGTTGACATATATTTTATTTGATGTCTTTACAGGAAGCTAGACAAAAGCTTTGGCCCTAATGTACTTTTTTGTGTATTTCTGGATCCCCAGTTCACCACCTAAAATTGGAAAGGAATTTGCAGTCACATTTCTAACAGTAAATAATGATATGACTAACCTGTTATTCACAGATTATTCGAAGTATTACCATATTTCTGGGTCCCCTCATGATATCTTCTTTAAGTAATAATGTTACTTTAAAATAGGGCAGAACCATTTTAAATGGTTGCTATTTGGCCATTTTTGACCTCTAAAATTGATAGTTCGTATGGTTCAGAATAAATGGAATATCTTCTCTTTGGGTTAGTGCTTCCAGGATGTTTGTTTCATAAATTAAATAAAATATCTTTATGTGAAAGTCATACTTTGTTGTTAAATTCACTTGAGTTTAATGAAAGACTAAAGAAGTTTCAAAAGATCCCATAATTGGTTGTTTAATTTAAATAGCAGTGAGGAACTGAATAGTCCTTAAAATAATCTTGAAATAATATATTTATACATTCTTTGAAGCAACTGTCATAAGTTACTAAATTGAGTTGGATAATGTGAGTGAATTGTATTGCCTTAGAAATTAATGACATTTGTTTAACGTTAAAATTTTGAAAGAGATGGTGATGAGTGAATGAATTGAGTATGACTTTCCTTTTTTTTCTTCTTTTGATGTGAAGCTCTTTTGTTCTATTTTAACATATTGTGGCATTTACATTTAGAATATTTCTTTACAAATAGTTTTTAAATCAAAAGAAACCTAGGTTTGTCCTTTAGATCTTCTCTAGCTGAGAGAAATGTTATAGTCTAGCGTGTGGCATAGTTATGCTTGTGGTAAAGAGGACTGAAGAAACTTTTTAGTGTTTCTTTTCGTGTTTTTCACTGAAATTTAATTTGTGTCCCAAAATAGTAATTATAGTTGTCTGTTTTAATTTCCCATTTTAGGGATCCTGAGATTGTAGTTTGAACTGGGAGAAAAATTAAGTATGACAGCTTATTTGGGACAAAATTTGGTCTGAGAATTTCATATTACCAAAATATATTTTCTTCTTTGAACACTGATTTATTTTTGTACTCATCGAATCATGAGCTCTTTCAAAACCGTTTGATTTTTTTTTTTTTTTGAGTTCTCTATTATCAGAAACTTCCCTTTGTCATGTAAAATGTTTTGCTTAGGAGATATTCCTAAACTGCATTGTCTTTATGTCATAAATTTCAGTCTTTCTTGCCTGCTATACATTGTGTGTGGGACATGTTCTTTTGTCTTAGAGTATTTTTTTTGTTTTCTGTCTGTACAGCTGATTTTCACACCCGCTACCACTGTGGCTGCTGTACAGTCTGACATTCCTGTTGTCTCGTCGTCATCGTCATCTTCCTGTCAGTCTGCAGCTACTCAGGTGAGCTTGTCTAGCTTCATAATGTGGTACTTGAGGTCTGGATTTTTAGGTTAAAGATAAGCATTGCATTTGTAGTTCAACTACTGATGGTTTCAGAGCTCTTTGTCATGCATTTCAGATTGAAATTTTATAAGATACAATAAGAATTCCAAGAAATTTTTTTTGTTTTGTAGAAATTATAATACAATTAAACAGATATTTAGGTTGTCTGACATTCATTTATGAGAGTTATGCTAATAACATTTTTAGATTTATTGTAGATTTTTCTTATTATATGCGACTTTATTTTTTGCAGATTCATCTTCAGGCAACTGTGAAATAAATCAGGGTGAATGATGGATTTTAGATTTAAAAATCAATTAAATTGGGCAAATTTTAAATTTAAAAAATTAAGTAGAATATTCTTTTATTTGATGCCATGGGAAAATAAACCTACCTTTCTCCTTACACCACTCATAAAAGTAAGCTAGAAGAAGCACGCAGACTTAAAGATAAAAGCAAAAACTGTTAAACATCTAGAAGAAATCAGGAGAATATCTACAAATCCAGGGTAGGCAAGGCCTTTTTAGATAGGATACACAAAAACACTAATCATAAAAGAAAATAATGATAAGTACTTTTGTACTCATTGAATCATGAGCATTACTTTATTAGAATTAAAAATGGTTCCTTAAAAGACTTCCTTAAAAAAGTGAAGAGGCAAGCCACAGATGGAGGGAAAATATTCATAATACATGCATCTGACAAAAGACTTGTATCCAGAATATACAAAGTATGTTTATAACTTAATAATTAAGTTCTAAGGGCAGGAGAATCACAAGTTTGAGACCCACATCGGCAGTGTAGCAGGACTGTGTCTGAAAATATAGGGCTGGGGAATGTAGCTCAGTGGTAGAACACCCCTGGGTTTAATCCTCAGTGCAAAAAAAAAAAAAAAAAAAAAAATCAAAAACAAATGGCAAAAGATTTGGAGATGTTTCACAAAAGACCAGTAAGCACCTGAAAAAATTCTCAGCATCATAATAATTATAGAAATTCAATCAAAACCATTGTGAATATTACCATACACTTAATAGAATGGTAACATGTTGGTGAGAATGTGGAGCAACCAGACTCATGCATTGCTGGTGAAAATGTAAAATAAAAAAGTACAACCATTTTGAGAAAAAAAAAAATTGGTAGCTCCTTATATAGTTAAATATACATTTAACATATGACCCAGCAGCTGTCCTCCTAGATGTTTTCCATGAAAGATATGAAAACATACATCTACATAAAGACATAAACTTTTAATGTTCTTGATATCTCAATTCAGAATAACTCCAAACTGAAAATACCAATGTCCTTCAAAAAATTGTTGTATATTCATACAGTGGAACACTACTCAGAAAGAAGAAAGGAATGAACTACTGATGCATCTCAGAAACATGTTTAGCAGAAGTCTAGGCAAAAAGAGTATATCCTCTGTGATTCCATTTTTATGAAAATCTAAAACAGGCAAAACTATCCATAATAAGGGAAATCAGATTAGTGAGTGGTATTTGGGGCAGAAGGTGGGGGAGATTGGGAAAGGGTATGAGTCAACTTTTACGATGATGGAAATGTTTTACATCTTGATCAGGGCAGTGGTTATATTGTGTGTATATAACTCCTAGAACTGGTTCATTCATTTCATTGTACATAAACGACATCTCAATATATTTGGTAAAAATGATTTAGAGTGAATGAAGTTTAAATAATTGAGTAGAATATTACTTTGATACAGTTTTGTTATTTTTCATAGTAAATGTTTTAGACTCCTTATGGCAGAAATGGATGTTTATTATAAGGATCTTAATCTTCTAGTAATAAAAAAAATGAGATAGTTCTTTGGTATTTTCCATATTACCTCTGCATATTATTTTCTTTAGTAATAAAGGCTAGTTTTCACATGAGTGTATGAAGGTGGTAGTCAGTTAAACTCAGGGCTGTTACAAGGAATAAATGTGACAACAATCAAAAAGTACTTAGCATAGTACCTGCTATACAATATCATATAGTACTAATTACTATTTTTGTTCTACATTGTCTGAAAATGAATATAAAGTTGGTTCTAGGATTTTAAGTAGCTAGTAGTAAAGAGAGAAACACAACCACTTAAAGGATTTACAGTTCTCAAGGTAAAAAAAACCAGTTGCTTGGGAAAACACAACTGTTTTTAACATGCTCTCTAGAACACAATTTGTTTATGAGTTCTCATGAAGAAAAAATCTTAGGGGTGTGTGTGAGAGTGTGCGTGTGTGTGTGGTATAGCACTGAGGAATCAACCAGGGACCCTTTACCACTGAACCATATCCCCAGCCCCCTTTTAAAGTTTTTTTTATTTTGAGACAAGTTCTCAAAGTTGCTGAGGCTGACCTTGAATTTGGAATTCTTCTGCCTTGGCCTCCTAAATTGATGGGATTATAGGTATGCACCACCGTACCAGGCTTTACAACATCTTTAATGTGAGTATAGTCAAATTAGTTTATTAAAGTATAATCCCAGGTATTCAGGATGCTAAGGCAGGAGGTTTGTGAATTCAAGGCCAGCCTAGACAGTATAGCAAGACCATGTCTTAAACAAACAAGTAAATAAAAAAGTGGTCTTTGAGTCCAGTTTGATGTGGTCTGTGTGATGATCTGTCTTAATTCAAGAATGTGCTTTCAAGGAACTGTAGAACTGGATTGACCTTTAGGAATCTCTTGACAAATGTTTTTTTTTTTTTCTTTGCTGGGCTTTGGAAAGGGGAGTGAATAAGGCTAACAGTGGTAGGTGATGCTAAGGCTTTTTAACACTGAGGGTAACTTTCCTCAAGTTCAGAACTGTTTTGGAAAATTTCTGCTGTACTCTGATTTAATTTTTTTTTTTTTTTTTTTGCAATTGTAGATGGACAGAATGCCTTCATTGTATTTGTTTGTTTTTATGTGGTGCTAAGGATCAAACCTGTGCCTCACACGTGTTAGGCAAGTGCTGTGCCACTGAGCTACAGCCCCAGCCCTTTACTCTGAGTTTTAAAATTATATTTGCAGTTTCTAAAAAAATTGTATTTGTAATTGATAGATATTTGAAGTTTTATTTTAATATTTTAAGCTACAAAAGTCAATATAGCATTTAATTTTTTCCTCAGCATTAGACAGTTTTTATAATATACTATTAAAAATGAGAAATTTGGGATATCTTACCCTTATTTATTATTTTAAGTGCTCCAGTCCTTCTATCATGCAAAAAGAAAAAATAATTTTAGAAAGATATTATAGGGCAAAAGATATATAGAGAGAGGGAGGAATAAGAAATTTCATTTACCAAGGGTATCTAGGGAATGAGAAGGTGACAGCCATTAAGATGTACCTTGTATAAAATTTGTCCACAATAGGTAGGCCGTGTATATTTGATGTAATAATAGTTAAGGGTTTTTAAAATTTGGATTTTGGAAATTATAATACAGTCTTTCCCATCAGCATTAATCTCGCCTTAGAATTGTTAAATCTGAATCTTAGATAAGTACTATACAATTTGATATAGAAATTAATAAAATCCATTCATAGTATGTATATATATCTATCTGGTTTCTTTTTTATAAACATCTGTGTCCCAGTCTCTGCTCTATGGCCATACAGATAAAAAATAGCTAGAATTTAAAAGCTAGAAACTCAGCTTTGTTGCCAGCGCTGTGATATTGACTCTTAATTTCTTAGTTACCTTGCAATGATAGTATGCTATGATAATTTCTACAGCATTGGTTTGATTTGAATTAAATAACTGATGTAAGAGCATTTTGGCAGTGGAGACTCACTATAAAAATGTAAGGTGTGAAAATTAGCAAAAATACTTAATGCAAAATTAGACTCAAAATCAGAATGTTTCCCTCGTTTGATAATAGGAAAGGTTCAGGTGAAATGAAAATTGGATATAGATTGCCCCAATATTCCTTGTCTTAGGATGGATTTTTTTTCTCCCCCGAAACCAAGCTGTGTCAAGGAAATCTGAACATGTGGTCTATTAACAGCTAAATTATGTTTTGGCAATATAGTTTACATGGTTGGGATTTATGTATAAGTTTTTATACACACACAGAGATATATATATATATAGCATTGTATATAAATATATACACATGTATTTTCTTGCAGAATTCAGAAACAACGGGAAAATTAGAATGTACTCTAGAAATGGATATGGTGCAGGTTTTAGGATTCATTGTGTCAAATCTTCATTTATTGTGAATATGCTTTTCACTTCAAGGAATGCTCTCAAGATTTTCAGATGATTATTTACCCTTTGGTTATCATTTTTGCATAGTCTGTTTTATAGATTATTTACAGCTAACATAGATTCTATATTGTCTTTCTTTACCTGGGAGATTTTAATGTGCCTCCATCAGATACTTTGTTGAGGTTTTTGGGGTATATATGAACAGATTTCATTGTTAGCCTGAGAACTGAGTATACTGAAAGAAAAACGCTGTGTAAGATGTATTTCAAAATCAGATATAGGAGAACACCTGAGATTTGTGAAGTTTTTGATATGTTTAAACACTGAAATGTAGGGAGTACAAAAAGGAGTGTTGGGCTGGAGTTGTGGCTCAGCGGTAGAGTGCTCATCTAGCACCTGTGAGGCCCTGGGTTCGATCCTCAGCACCACATAAACATAAAATAAAGGTATTGTGTCCAGCTACAACTAAAAAAAATAAAATAAAATAAATTTTTTAAAAAAAGGAATGTTAGAGATAGAACCTATTAGCTAGCCATAGTCTCAGTATTTCACAGACACATACATTAATAATTCTAAAGTAAGCTAAGACATTGTGCTGTAGGCCAATATGATCCCAATTCTATGGAAAAATCCTTTTAGAGGAAAGGGAAAAAACTGTTTTCCAACAAAGGGCTTTGGGGTTATTGCTCTAGGAGCATGAATGGGATTTTATTAGGCTTGGAAGAATGGACTTCAGGAGATAACTCTGAGGTGGATTGGCATTTAGGCAAGAGGAGTTTGTGGGGGAAATGAAGGAAGTGCTAGATATGTTTTGAATGGGGAACAGAACAGTTTGGCAAGAATGTGAGAATTGTGGGCTAGAGGAATAGAAAATGCGGCACAAAATGGTTTGGGCCTAGATTGTGAAGGGTTTGAGTAGCAGTCTGAGAAATACCTGCATTGGTGATTTTATTTTTGTATTAAACTTTAATAATACAGTGGTTATTAGTCCATTATGTTAACATTGATAACTAAATATTTGAGAAAAATCAGATGTTCCATATAGTTTCACTTAGAAAATTCTTTCAGTAGCTTAGAATAGAATTGATTAAAACTTAGACTTCCTAACATGAACATTTTTTCAGTACCTGCTGTTGACTGAACACTACATTGGAACTTGGACAGAAGAAATATAGCCTTTAAGCATCAATTAATGATGTATTTTAAGAAAAAGGGCACACATGAAACTGAAAAACACTTATTTATAAAGCAGCAGTATGTTATTTGCTTTGTCACTTTGCAATTTCTTTTACTTCAGTTTCCTTCTCAGGACCAGTGCTAGCACTAAATGTATTTGGTATATTTATTCCAGATAAGCAAGAAGTTAGGCAGCTTACTTTCTGCCTTGCTGTTTGGAAATGTTATAAATCTCAGGTGAGAGTAATTGGGATAATCCTTGCCTCCATCCACATATAGTATATGTAGAATAGCCCCAAGTATAGATAGGAGCTATCACACAAACCATGAACAATTTTTTCAGTTCCTGAGAACTAGTTCTCAGAGGCAATGAGTGTTCAATAACAGCAACAAAATTTAACTAAATTAAAAAAAGAGTTTCTGAAAATGCTCTTAACAAGTATCACAATGGGGTAGGTGATTTGATGAATTAATTTTCCTTCTTACAAGATTAATATCCCCTTACAGTCTCTATAGTTAGAGCTGGTCACTTTTAATGTTATATGTTACAGAGTAGTTTCCTCATATTCATAGTCCATTTGAGATATAACCACCCACACACTCACAATCTGTTGTCATTTAGTCTTTCATGATTCATCCTTCCTCTGCATTATTCAATCCCTCCCTTCCCTTTCTCTCCCCTTACCCCTGCCCCTTACATCTTTTTAAAAATTACTGCATGATATTTAAGATGTGATTACTTAGAATAATTCTCCTTTTCTTCAGGATTAACCACTTGTTTTAAGTACTTGGAATGTGTGACAAGTATAATATAATATAATATAAATGTGTTGTCATTGTAATGATTACCACATCAAAATCATCTGTTTTCATCCTTATTTTCTGTTATGTGATTCTTAGGTTCAGAATTTAACATTACGCAGCCAGAAGTTGGGTGTGTTATCTAGCTCACAGAATGGTCCACCAAAAAGCACTAGTCAAACTCAGTCATTGACAATTTGCCATAACAAAACAACAGTGACCAGTTCTAAAATCAGCCAACGAGATCCTTCTCCAGAAAGTAATAAGAAAGGAGAAAGTCCAAGTCTGGAATCACGAAGCACAGCTGTCACCCGGACATCAAGTATTCACCAGTTAATAGCACCAGGTAGGATAAAACTTTTATTTTATACTTGCTTTGTTTATTTTCTTAGCAGACAGAGCAAAAACAAAGATGTCTACGACTTGAATAAGAATGACATTTTAAAATGTGAATTTCCTGAGTTAAAGAACATCTCTCTATGTAGCTTTTTAAAAGGAGAGATTTAAAAAGCCCAATAGCTAAAACAGTAAAATAGACATTCTTTGTTAATTGATGGTTGACTAATGTCTTTATTGAGTGCTGGTCTCTCCTTGTAGAAATAAAATCTTTTAGCTTTTAAAAGAGATTTGCCTACTATGTTGCCTATAGTTTATTATATTTTAGTGGAACAAATTTAAAAGCTTCTAAAAAAGCAAATACGTTATTCTGTTTAAAGTCATCTATGGGAAGAATTTGTCACTTTCCAAAAATGAGGACTATGCAAATAAGGAAAGTTATTTTCCTTACTATGTTGTTTTTTTTTCCCCCTCTCTGATTTCATCTGGGAGAAAGATGTCAGGGAATCGGCTAAGTCACTTTCATTCGTGTCAAGCTTTAAAGCTCACCTGTGCTTCCTCTTCTTTCTACAGATAACCTTGCCTCATGGTTCTTACACTGAAAATGTTGGGGCCATCCCATCCAGTGTGAGCTTCCTATCTCTTACATTCATCTAAGTATTTTTTAGGATTGAGCTTCCTTCACTTCTAATAAGATAAAGTGTTACCTGCTTTCTTCTTAAGATCAATACCATTTGCTTATGAGCCCATCTTTTTTTTTAACCTGTTCCTGACCTTGTTTAATAGTTACTGTAGCATGTTTTATCTTCTCATGCTGATCCTTTGCTTCTCGAGCATGTTAGGTCTTCCCTATTCTTAACATATCTGCATATTTTCTACAGCAGTATAACTGTTATTTATTGTGTATGTGTGAAAGAGATGCACTAGGCTAGACACTTCATAAAAAAAAAAATCCTTTGTTCCAACAATCTCATTAAGCATCATCGTTCTGTTTCTTTTTACCTGGTTTTATCTTTTTTTTTTTTCCTTTTTTCCCTTCTTTGCAGTACTGGGTGCTCTACTGTTGAGCTATATCCTCAGTCCCTTTAAAAAACAATTACTATTTTTTTTTTTCTATTTTGAGACAGGGTACTAAGTTGCCAGGGCCAGTCTCAAACTTATGATACTCCTGCCTTAGTCTCCTGGGATACCAGGCATGTGCCCCCACTAACTGCTTTACTTTTTAGAAAGTTTTTCTACACTATTGAAGTTTGCTTTTTTTCCTACTTACATCTATTTCTATTTTCATTTTTCCTCTATGTTAAATTTAACATCATTCACTACTTCACCAAATGTCAGAATTTTGGGTTGGTCTGATTTCTCTAGTTAAAAATTTCTCCTCACTGAATACTTGTAACATTTTGTGCTCTTGTATGGTTCTTTTTTTCTTTTATAGTTATCTATATAATTATTGATCTTAGCTTCTCTACTAGATAGTAAAGTCCTTAAGGGGAGATATAATATTGAGTGTTTCTGTATTACCTTTTTTTTTTGATACTGGGGGTTGAACTCAGGGGAGCTTAACCACTGAGCAGCATCCCCAGCCATTTTTATTTTTTACTTTGAGACAGGGTTTTGCCGAGTTGCTGAGGGCCTCCTTAAGAGGCTGGCCTTGAACTTGCAATCCTCCTGCCTCATCTCCCAAATTGCTGAGATTATAGGCATATACCATTGTACCTGGATGATTCCTGTATTTTTGATAGATTATGTTGAAAATTCTGATTTTTTTTCCAGTTAGAGTACTCTCTTTAAGGAAATGTGGGATATCTCTCTCTCTCTCTCTCTCTCTCTCTCTCTCTCTCTCTTTCTCTCTCAGTTGGGAACTCTTTTAGGTTTAGTTCAAGCAAGGAGATTTACTTTTGGATTATTAGGTCCTCTTAACCAATACCCGGTTGCAAGTTGCAACTTACTCTTTCCTCTTTGGTTTGTAGTTTGCTAATTATCTTTACTGTTATAAGGGCAATATTTTATGTAGGTAATAACCCAGACTGCCAGAGTCTCAGGTCACTTTCAGTTCCAGATTCAGATCTTACTTACATTAACCAAATTCCAGTTTTCCACGATCCTGTTGATTAGAAAAAAAATCATACCAGAACATCTTAAACCACATAAACCTTCCCAGGTACCAAACTTATAAGTTTGTTTAAGCCTCATGTTGCTATTACTCAAAGCAATTCATATGTTCTGGCAAGGCAGCAGCTATATTTTATACTCTCCTAGTTTCTCTCCTCTTATTGATGGGAAGTTAATCTGAAACTAAGATATTTTGAGAGATTATAGAATTGGTAACTTGGCCTTTTCCTCGACCAGAACTGTTGCTTCATTTTAAATATTAAAAAAAACTACCTGTGTTCTAATGTAAACCACATTAATAATAATTATATTGGACATGTTTATTGTTTCCTTTATATGTATTTTTAGAATGCTAAAATAATATTTTCTGAACCACTTCTCCTTGGGTGTAGAATTCCTGCTTGTTAGTAATTCTTTGTGTGTGTGTGTATATATATACTGGGGATTGAACCCAGAGGCATTAACACTGAGCTACATCCCCATTCCTTTTTATTTTGAGACTCTCTTGTTAAGTTGCTGAAACTGGCTTCGAACTTGTGATCATCCTATCTCAGCCTCCTGAGTCATTGGGATCACTGGCATGCACCACCTTGGCCTGGCAGTAATTCTATTTTAATGCCTTCAGTAAAGGCAAACTTAAACCAAATGTATCAAAATCATGAACTGTATTAGAGCTGAAAATTTTTAAAACAGTTTTTAGAGCTTTTATTAAATTAGTCTAATTAGAAAATACATCATTTTTTTGCACACATTAATTAAGTATACAATGAAAATATCTGCTTTAGCTGCTATAGTAAAATACCTCAAACTGGGTAGCTGGAAAGCCCAAGATTAAGGTCTGGCAATATACAGTTTATGGTGAGATGTCTTGGTTTGCAGATGACCTTTTTCTTGTTATGTGCATTTCCTCTGTATGCACAGTGGGGTAGAGGTAGCTCTTTGATGTCTCTTTAACATAAACACACAAATCCTGTCACTTCAGGGCCCTACCCTTAAACCTCATTTAACTTTGATTAATCTTTAGATGCCAGGGAAGTTAGGGCTTCAACATATGAATTTTGTGGGGTAGGGGAAACTGCCCATAACAAGTCCCTAGACTCAGGATTATGAGTTCTGTTAGACCCAGTGGTGTCCCTTACCTGCATTTAATTATCAAGAGTTTGTTAATCTGTAATATGTTGGATTAGTATAGTGCCATGCCTACCTCATGGCGTTGTAACTTGAGTGAAAAAATATATTATTATAAAGAACAGAGTTATTTGGGGCTGGGGCTATAGCTCAATGGTAGAGCACTTGCCTTGCAGGTGTGAGGCCCTGGGTTTGATCCTCAGCACCACAAATAAATAAATAAATAGAGATCGAGTCCATCTACAACTAAAAAAATATTTTAAAAAAATGTGTGTGTGTGTGTAGGAAAGAGAAATGATGCCAATCATTAGTCCTCCAAATAAAAATGATGCCAATCATTAGTCTTCCAAATATTAGGCCACCCTGATAATAATTGTTTAAAATCAGAGGAATTAAGCAACATGATGTGTTTTTCTAGAGTACTAGGCTTTTCTTGTATGATGGGGACATTGTTTCAGATATCCTCAAAATTGGGCTGGGGATGTAGCTCAGTGGTAGAGCACTTGCCTAGCATGCACCGAGGCCCTGGTTCCATCCCGAGCACCATTAAAAAAAATCACAGTTATAATGTCAAAATATTTTTCTCATGTGGCTTATGAACTAATGCAAAATATATAAATTTATTTTGACTTCTGATCCAAGAAAAATTTAATGTAGGTGAAATAGGCTATTACTCTATTGAATTATCAGCTCTAGAATATAAACAGATCATTTACTCTCTAGCGCACAGAAATCAAGTATATGATAAATTTAGGCTGGGTGTGGTGGCACATGCCTGTAATTATAGTGTTTTGGGTGGCTGAGGGAAAATCACAAGTTCAAAGCCAGCCTCAGCAACTTAGTGCCCTAAGCAGCTTTGTGAGACCCTGTCTGAAAGTTAAAAAAAAATAAAATAATAAAAGATCTGGGGGTGTAGCTCAGTGGTAAAGCACCCCTGGATTCAGTTGCTAGTAACAGCAACAACAACAAAAGAAAATGGTAAATATAATTTATATTTTAATATAATTTATACTTTAAAATTGAATTAAAGTTTATTTCCTTATGTATAGGAAGGGGATAATAATTTCTACCTACTCCACAGGCATTTTATAAATATAGATGAGACATGTGAAAGCATCTTGCCTTGGAGGAAAACCACTATATGAAAATCTGAGATTTTGTTAATCCACCTTCTTTGAATACTGTATAACATAGTCTATATGCACACATTTATAAAGAGCTGACAGTCTTTGTTTGAAGTACCAGTCTACTTACTATGTGAAAATTATTTTGTTAGATGAAATTTTAAACTTAATTTCCATGTGTGTGTATTTTGCAGTGCTGGGGATTAAACCTAGGGCATGCTAAGTATGTTTATGCTCTACCACTGAGCTACACCCTCAGTCCCTCATTCTTTAAAATTAATTACTAGATATCTACTGAATCTTCTAAACACTCTTTATTGAGATGTTAATTAGATGTTAATTTCTTTAATGGATCCCTAAAATTTTAAATAATAACCAAATGTGAAAGTATTTAATAAAAAAGGTGCTGGAAGTTTTTATAAGGCTTTCGTTACACATGTTGTTAAATGTAAAAGTAGATAAAAGGAGCTGGGGTTGTGGCTCAGTGGCAGAGCACTTGCCTAATACATGCGAGGCCCTGGGTTCCATCCTCAACACCACATGAAAATAAATAAAATAAAGGTGTTGTGTCCAACTACAACTAAAAAGTAAATATTTTTTAAAAAGCATTTTAAAAAAGTAAATACAGGGCTGGGGCTGGGGCTCAACAGTAGCGCACTTGACTGGCATGTGTGAGACATTGGGTTTGATTCTCAGCACCACGTATGAATAAATAAAAAAATAAATAAATAAATTAAATGCAAGTCTTTCAGACATGTAATAGAACTTTTATCATTTTCTGAAATTTCAGAAAAAAATTTTAAATAGTTTGCAGTTTATCTTATAACAAACCCAGTTTCTATTTTTACTTACATAGGGAGGATTTTGCTACTCTATGTAAATATGTGCACCAGCATGCAGAAGAGGCATAATGATGGGGCAACTCTTCATAGCTCAATTATGATATCCTATATATTTTTATCCCTGTTGTGAATGTTTCTTCAGTGAAGAAGATCTGATACCATCTCTTATGAATTACCGTGGGTTTTTGTGGTGGGGGGAGCGTTAAAGAAGATCCTTTAGACAGCATGGGCTTCTGATTGCCTCATTTTCTGCAAGCAAAACTAGTGTTCTCCTAGTTTTGGAATGGCCTCTAAGTTTCACTTATTATAATGGTTATTTAACTATGCTGTAAGACTTACACATATTTTGCTTAATTGAATTACATTTTTATACAAAACATTTTCTCTTCCTGGAAAAATAAACAGAATATTTGATCTCAAATTTTGAAACTTATTTAGGTAACTTTGTAATCTTGCCTATGTTTAGACATAGGATGAGATATTTATTAATTTTAATATACAGTTTTATGACTTAAAGTTACCTTTCTATGTACTATACTTGTTCATCTATGATACTCTCAAAAAGAAATTCAAGTGCATAAATTTTGCTAAAAGTTAATGTGGCTATTCTGATTGACCGATAAATAGATTATTTTAGGCAGTTTTCTATTGGAACTTTTCATAGTACAGGTATTTTATCACATTTTTATAGTCTTGGGGCTGGGATTGTAACTCAGTGGTAGAATGCTTGCCACTGGGTTCAGTCCTCAACACCATAAATGAATGAATGAATGAATGAATGAATGAATCATGTCCATCTACAAATAAAAATATTTTTAAAAAACTTAGTCTTTCAAGGAAAAACTGTTTCTTACAAAATTTCAAATTACCCTTATCTTAAAGACTTGCTATAGAATTCTAAATGATTATGTCCTTCATGATGTGAAGTTTCTACCCTTATATTTATTTAAAATTTTCTGACATTTTTTGAAATCAGTACTAATTGTTATTTTTTTTTCTCACAGCTTCATATTCTCCAATTCAGCCTCATTCTCTAATAAAACATCAACAGATTCCTCTTCATTCACCACCTCCCAAGGTTTCCCATCATCAGCTGATATTACAACAACAACAGCAGCAGATTCAACCAATCACACTTCAGAATCCAACTCAAGATCCACCCCCATCCCAGCACTGTATACCACTCCCAAACCATGGCCTTCCTCCAGCTCCAAGTAATGCCCAGTCACAGCATTGTTCACCAATTCAAAGCCATCCCCCTCCTCTAACCGTGTCTCCCAATCAGTCACAGTCAGCACAGCAGTCTGTGGTAGTGTCTCCTCCACCACCTCATTCACCAAGTCAGTCTCCTACTATAATTATTCATCCACAAGCACTTATTCAACCACACCCTCTTGTGTCATCAGCTCTTCAGCCAGGGACAAATTTGCAGCAGTCTACTGCTAATCAGGTACAACCCACAGCACAGTTGAATCTTCCATCCCATCTTCCACTCCCAGCTTCTCCAGTTGTACACATTGGCCCAGTTCAGCAATCTGCCTTGGTGTCCCCAGGTCAGCAGATTGTGTCTCCAGCATCACACCAGCAATATTCAACCCTACAATCCTCTCCAATCCCAATTGCAACCCCTCCACAGATGTCAGCATCTCCTCCAGCTCAGATTCCACCACTGCCCTTGCAGTCTATGCAGTCTTTACAAGTGCAGCCTGAAATTCTATCCCAGGGCCAGGTTTTGGTGCAGAATGCTTTGGTGTCAGAAGAGGAGCTTCCAGCTGCAGAAGCTTTGGTCCAGTTGCCATTTCAGACTCTTCCTCCTCCACAGACTGTTGCGGTAAACCTACAAGTACAACCACCAGCACCTGTTGATCCACCAGTGGTAAGCCCTTGGAAGCTCTTTGACTTTCTTGCTGAACTAAAAGTAAAAACTTTTTTCTCCCACACTGTTATATTGCTAAACCTAAATGCCTATGAATTTTAAAAGCTTGGTATTTCCGTATGTCAGTATTCTGACAAACATGCTATATGGGCAAAAAAAAAAAAAATGCCATTATTTATTGTAGTATGGTTGCATGCTTGATAATCTGTGATGGTTATTTAAGTCCCTCGTTAATTTTATTACTATTTAAACAAATCCATCTGCTATCTTTACAGAGTTGATTTTTTTTCCCCAAGGGAATGCATTTGAACCAGTGTCATCTGCACAAAGTTTTTTCTCTTAAGGTGATTATCCTTCATAGATCCCTTCTGTTGGCTTGTGTGTTCTTGTGGTTTATCTAGCTACCCTTTTTGGTTGTATGCATTCAGAAGTCCTGGGCCTTGAGAGGCTTTGGTTTCAAGGTGGAGGAGGTATGCTTGTATGATGTAATTTTTTGGTAAAATTATATTTTGTAATTAAAATTTTATAAATAATTATTCTAGGAAAGAGCCCAAGTTTGCAAAAAACATAACTGATATTTTATTTCTACTGAGGGAAAGTATATACTTAAAATATTTCTAACTTAAAAAGCTAAAAAATCTCAGTAAAAATTGCAACGCTGGGAATGGAAGAAAATCTACGGAAGGAGTAAAAATTTTGAGTAATTGAGATTGTAATGAAATTTATTAGAATAAACTTCTAAAAATGGTTACATGTTGTTTAGAAAGGAAAATTATCTTGAAAAACATTTAAAAATAGCATCTAAGGGATTTATAAAATAGTTTACAATAAATTTGGAATAAGAACTCTAAAATATTTAGTCAGAATAATCCAATTTATATTTTTTACATTTTATATTTTTATATTTTGTATTTTATAAATCCAATTTATATTTTTTTCTTTTCCTTTTAGTACTGAGGGTTGAACTCAGGGCTTCTTGCATACTAGATACATTCCCAGTGCTTTTACTTTTATTATGATACAGGGTCTTGCTAAGTTGTCAGGCTGGCCTTGAATCTGTGATTCTTCTTCCTTAGCCTCTTGAGTAGCTGGGATTTCAGGTTTGAGCAACCATGCCCCACTCATAATTAATACTGAGAAGAAGAATTTTCCTAAAAGGAGGTTTTTGCATCATACCTCACTGAAAAGATTTTATTACTTAAAAGCTAATTGGCTTAGAATGGAAAGGAGTTTCAGAGTCTCCATAATGGGAAACATTTGGGATCTCAGAATGCAAATTTATAGATATTTTATTCTTATCATTCTGAGTGATCTTAATAAGCATAGATTGAATTCCACTTGCTGTTACCCTTTTTAACAGACCTTCACAGAAACAACAGTACTAGAAATGTTTGTCATTTATAATTATTATGTCTCTATATTTTCTTTTAATGGATTTCTTAAGAGTTTACAGTGGGTACTGTCACAAAAACTGTTTAGGAATTATATGGTATCTTCAGAGAAATCAAATTTAATTTAAATTTTATTTTCTATCAGGTTCAGTTGTTTGGCTCTTAACAAGTAAAAAATAAAACACCTGCATATTCCTTATATTTTCTAATTGTTTTTATTAAGGGAAAAATATTTGGGTAGAAATATAAAAAATAGAACACTTTAAAAACTAATTAAATTAAAACTGAAAATATTTAAGGTTGCATTTTGTTGATTCTTGCCTACCTCCCTTTTAAAGATTTTTTTTTTTTTTTTGAAAAAAGTTTCTTATCTCATTTTTGGAAGAGTTTTTTCCTATGAAATACATAATTTTCTCTGTATCACGGATATAGTCATTATGCTTGCTGTAGATGTTTTCCATTTACCTTTCCTCATCTTTTAACTTTCTTTGAGTAACATAGCTCTGTTTGTTAAATTACTATATTTTCTTCTATAATCTTTGTATTATTTTTCCATCAAAACACTTTTATTTACAAATTACAGTTTCTTGGTGGTTCCAAATATTTAAGGTAGAGAGATATACTTATTTCTTTAGAGATGAAGTTTTGAAAGATAATAGTGAATTATCAAAGTGAAATCAGTATGTTTTTTGAAAGACATTTATAAAAGCATTAAAGTTTTTAATTGACATTTGGGTATAAATGAGATATGTTGAGGGTAGATAATTTAGAACTAATAAACAAATGTTCCTCAGTTTATTTAGGAAAGGGAGACAGATGGGAATAATGGACTTTATTGAGGTAAGTTTGGCAGTCTTTGTTATTTTTAGAATAGTTATAGTTACAAGTTAAGCAGAAAATGTGATGTGTAGTTTCCTAATGATCTTTTGAGCAAAACCTCCACTTTGCTGTTTTCAATATTTTAGTTATTGCATTTAGATTTCTTTGTGCTGATCATGCCAGATGTCTGTGACAGATTTGTTTTTGCCTACTTCTTTATTAACTTACTTTGCCTTTACATGGGAAATTGGAAGAAAAGTATGTATAGTTAGCCTTAACTATAGAGAATGAAAAGTATTTTACAGTATTCTTTGATGGATTATTTTTTAATGCTGTTTGTGTTAAAACTTCATCCTTTAAAACACTTTCATTATTTAAAAAAAAAAATCAGTTCAGTGTATGATAAGCTTTGATTCCTTAAAAGGTACTATAGCAAATAAATGTTTGAGTAACATGCTGACAGCATTAAGATGAAAGTGACAGTTTCAGCTTTTCTTTGGCAGAAAAGTATTATCTACTCAAGAAAATGCTATCCACATAAAATTGAACTGGTTAATAAAAAACATACTTGTCTAAATACGCAGGATTAATTCCCCAACCACTCAGACACATTAATGGGGTACCAGAAAAGTTTCTTTCTTTCCTTTTTTATAAAAAATTTTTTGGTTAACCCCGAAATGTCTTTCTAGTTGATTTTCCCTATATTGGGTATTAACATCATTTTTAAAATTACTATTATCAAGAACAGATATTAGCATTGTTACACTGTATAATAATAAATGATTGCTTTCTTCTGAGACCATACATGAGGCAAGGAATCTATTTTGGTGAAGCAGTTTTCCAGATGTAGAGTTATAAGAGAATTATTTTAATAACATTACCTACTTAGAGGCTGATTGAGATAATTCAGAATATTGCACTTGATATAAAGTTATCAGTAACAACAGAATTTTTTATTTTTATATATTGTTTTTGCCATACCTGTTATCCAACCCAGGGCCTTGTACATAATAGGCAAGTACTCTAACCATGTGCTACACCCCTGGCCTAGCTAGTAATGTAATTTTTAAGTTTTAAAAAAGACTAAAAATGTCTGGGGTTGTGACTCAGTGGCAGAGCGCTTGCCTAGCATGTGTGAGGCACTGGGTTCGTTCCTCAGCACCACATATAAATAAATAAAATAAAATAAAACAAATACAGGTTCATCAACATCTAAAAAATATTTTTAAAAAAGGACAAAAAAAATTGGGGGCATTATAATCATTTAAAAAACTTTTTTTTTTAGTAGAGGCTGGGGCATATTTTTATTTTTATTTGTAACTCTCTTTCTTGTTGTTATGTGTATCTATGAAGTTTCATCTATAAACATGACTCATGCTGGATTCAGAAATCTTGATCACTTTAATTTTATATAGTTATCAAAATTTTTATTATTAAAAAATGTTAGATGTCACAGTTATTTTGTGAATATTGTTGATTTTTACTGGAATATTAATCAGTTTCGTTAAACAATTCTAAAAAACTCATAATCCTTTATAAATTTAGGTAAAAGCCTAGCACATTTATAAGGAGGGAGGTGAACTGTTTTGTAGCTTTGTTTTTAGTGTCTTTATCATCTTTCATAAATAAATGGTTAAATAAATAATAAATGATGACCAGTTAAAATACTTATATTATAATGTCTCTAGAAATGCACTTTGAAAATTAAGCCTTCAGTTTAATAAGTTAGTTATTTCTATTTATAATGCTTTTTTTTCAGAGATCTTTTGATTCCCTGTTCTCTTTTAAGTATAATCTTTACAGTTAAATAACAGGGTAGTTAAAGATTTAAAACCTTTCCCCCATAAATATGGAACAATATTAAAAAACTAAAATATACATCCAAATGGCTTAGTGTGTGTGTGTGTGTGTGTGTGTGTGTGCATGTGTGCATGTGAGGGTTTTAAAGAAAGTTATATTTTGCATACATGACTAGCTTGCAGATTCATTAATTCTTGAGTAGAACAGAAAAGGAAAGATAAGTTGCATTTTTTTTAAGCTTTTGGACATTACTTTTCATAGTTTAATCTTTAGTTCACAACATTATGATAAAAAGAACCTGGGATATAGTTTTAATGACAGTACTTTTCCTGACCTATTATATTATTTTGGAAATTTGCTTAGTGTGCTTTTGAAAATTCCTGTTACCTACTTGGACTTTGACAAGTAGAAATTAAAAGACACAGTAGTAGTATTCTTGAGATTGATATTTGATTATAGTGAAATCAAAACTTTTTAAAATTCTCAAAATTAAGAATATGCTTAGCTTTGACTATTATTATTTTGGAAAACTTTTGGCCTAGATAACTGATACACAGCTGGATTTCAGTGAAATATTAATCAAGTATTATGAAAAACTTCATTTGAGTGATTATAAGGTTTTCCTTTCAACTTGTCAGAATAGTCATTTTTACTGTTTTAAAGTTTAATACACTTAGAATTTAATTTTTTAAAATCAAGAATACCTCATTAAATGTATTTTTGGAAACATTTTAAGGCAGTGTGGTTTATCATTGCAGGTTTATCAAGTAGAAGATGTGTGTGAAGAAGAAATGCCAGAAGAGTCAGATGAATGTGTCCGGATGGATAGAACCCCACCACCACCCACGTTGTCTCCAGCAGCTATAACTGTGGGAAGAGGAGAAGATCTGACTTCTGAACATCCTTTGTTAGGTAAGAAAATGTCAGCATATAGGGGAATTTTTCTATTTGATTAACGTGAGTAATGAGAAGTATTTTTTTCAACTAGAGATGGTATTAAACTAATTTGTTGCTGTGGTTAACTATAGCAAAAGGTAGATTAGAAGTCAAGATTTCAAAAGATTTTATTTTCCTTCTTGGAAAACTATTTAATAGCAGGGAAACTTTGCAGTTTATATATTTTTCAATACCACTCAAATGAAAAACATGCCTTTGCAAATCTTCTAATTTTCAGTCGCTTACGCTTATACAGATGTGTTTCATATGCCTATTCAGATTCTTGAATTATTTTCATCTTAAAAGTTAGAATAAATAAAAATTCTCTCAAAAAATTTAAATTACACTTTCTAAAAATCATAAAGCATTCTAAATCATACCTGATATTCACTTATTTGTAATCAAGAAGACCAAGTGCTTTTAGTTTCTTTAATATTATAGTACTTTTCTTAAAAGAGACATAAGTTTTTAAAAATTCTTGCATTTAAGTAAATTCTTATTCATTAATTCATTACTACTTATGAATTCAAGTACATCTCCTGAACATCCTTCCTCACAATATCAAAGTTCTTGTGAACCTTAGGTATCTTATTGAAATATTAGTTTAGCTTACAACTCAGTGTCTCATCTTAAAACAGATAAGTTCCATGTTTTTTTTTTTTTTTTTTAATTTATGAATATTCTATCTGGATTGGGGGTTGGCAAACTAGTTCACTTTCAGATATCTTCTGCTGCCTATTTTTGCATGGCTGAAGGTAAGGAGGGTTTTTAAATTTTTGAATAGTTGAAAAAAATCAAAATAATCATTGTTCATGTCATGTGAAAATTATTTGAAATTCAAACTTTATTGAACATAAAGTTCTGTGAAGCATAGCCATGCTTATTTGTTCAAATATTATCTATGGCTGCTTTTGTGCTACTATCCACAAAGATGAGTAGTTGCAAAGACCAAGTGGCCCTTCACTGAAAACCTGCTGACCTATGAGCTAAAATATATCAATATTGGTTTTGGCTTTTTTATAAGTATCCTATTCTGTTGAATATCTCCTGGCCCTCATGATTGTCTTCAGTTAAGAAAAACTACTGTAATAGGCATGGAAGCCAAATGTAATGGGACACTGACCCTGTTTTATACCAAAGGAACTCTTGCCCTCTTCTCTTCTTTATCATGCTACATCCTCTTTCCTTCCTTTCTCTCAAGCTTTTATTTCCTAACTACTAATGTGGATCTCTGTAAAGTATAAAAGGTGAAAATTAGTTTTCTTGTAACTTTTTCCTCTTCTGAATATTGAAAACATATAGTCAATAAAATTATATAAAGTAAGATGGATTAACATTATTTCCTTTTATATTCAAAGTAATACCTCAAAGATAGATTTAAGTCTGTAATATCAAATATATGTGGTTTTTTTACATGAAAAATGCATTTTGATGCTAACAGTTTTTCTGGAGTTTTGATTTAAATAGGAAAAAATATAAGTTTAATTGAGTATTAAACATGCATTGTGACTGTGATTTAATTACAAAATAAGCATCACTAATGATACTAAAACCAAATTTAAACATTTTTTGCAATGTTGAAACAATATCTTTACATATTTTCCTTAGGAATATATTCTGAGTTCCTGTGGATGCATATTCCTCTGGCTAAGTTGTCAACTACAATATAGTTATTTATCTTCCTTTAATTTCCTTCATACTTTTCACTCTTATATTGTACATGGGCGGTAGGTGGGGACAGGGGAATACAGGTTGATTTTTACAAACTCTCATCAACTAACTTGTGAAAATAGACTTGTTTCATCTAGGATTTAGTTTTTCTAAATCTTTTTTTCTAAGTAAAAGTATGCAAAAAGCTAGGAAAAGTTTTTAGCTTTTGAGTAGGAAATGAGCTGCTGAATAGACACTAAAGTCTATAAAATAGCAAAGTTATATAAGTTAAGATTTTCTAAAATACTTGCCTTAAATCTAAAAGGTTTCATAATTGTGTTTCTGTTCTATGGTAATATGTCACAATGTTTCTCATGATTTGGTTTTATTTTTGTCTTGATGGTATTAGGAATTGAACCCAAGGGTGCTCTACCACTGAGCTATATCCCCAGCCCTTTTTATTTTTCATTTTGAGACAGGGTCTTGCCAAGTTACTGAAGGCTTGAGTTGCAAAGGTTGACCTCAAACTGATGATCTTCTTTCCTCAGTCTCCTGAGTTAATGGGATTATAGGCATATGACACCACATTCAGCTGTTTTCAGTTTAACAGTTTTTTATAAACTGGCAATTAATAGGCTTCATCAAAAAGTCAGTAACTTACAGCTCTATTGCTTTCTTTCACTATTTCTTTATTTTTCTTTCTTTCTTTCTTTTTTTAACTGAGGTTCAAATCCAAGGGTGCTTTACCTCTGAGCCCCAGCCTTTCTTTTTTCTTTTTTTAATTTTAAATTTTGAGACAGGGTCTGGAGGCTGGCCTGGAACTTATGATCACCTGCCACAGCCTCCTGAGTCTCTGGAATTACAGATATGAGCCACTATGCCTGGCTTACAGCTCTATTTTTAACAAAATTTAGGACTAAGATTTAAATATACGATCTAAAAACTAATTAGAATATACACCAAGCAGTATTTTCTTTTTTATATTTATTTTTTAGTTTTCAGCGGACACAACATCTTTGTTTGTATGTGGTGCTGAGGATCGAACCCGAGCCCCACGCATGCCAGGCGAGCGCGCTACCGCTTGAGCCACATCCCCAGCCCATCAAGCAGTATTTTCTTTCTTTGTGTTTTTGATGTGGTACCGGGGGTTGAACTCAGGGGTACTCAACCACTGAGCCACATTCCCAGTCCTATTTTATATTTTATTTAGAGACAGGTTCTCACTGAGTTGTTTAGCTCCTCGCTTTTGCTGAGGCTGGCTTTGAACTTGCGATCCTCCTGCCTCAACCTCCTGAGCTGCTGGGATTACTGGTGTGCGTGACCATGCCTAGCCCAAGCAGTATTTTCTGAACAAACCAAATTATACTTAATTATGTTTAATGCAGTATGTCTTAATCCATTTTGTGTTGCAAAATATAACAGAATACCACAAACTTGATCATTTATATTGAGCAAAAATTTATTTGGCTCCTGATTCTGGAATCTGGAAAGTTTAAGATCAAGGGGCTGCATCTAATGAGGACCTTCTTGCTGTGTCATAACAGGGTAGAAGGTATCACATGGGTAAGAGTATGCATGCAAAGGGGAGGTCAAACTCACTTTTATATCAGATCCATTCTGGTGATAAGAAACCCACTCCTAAGGTAACAACATTAATCAAATCTTGAGGGCTTTGCCTTCAGGATCTAATCACCTTTTAAAGGTCGCACCTCTTGTCAGTGTTATATTGAGGATTAAATTTCCAATACATGAACTTTGGGATTCAGACTATAGCATGCCACTTTGTATTTCTAAAGTAAGGAAGTATCATAAACCTATAAAGGATATTAAAATTTTATTTTGTTTCAGTTCCCCTATAGATTAATTTTATCTTTCCAACAGAAAAGAGAGTTCCCTTTCAGAATTTTTGTGTTTTTTATTATTTGGTATATGGGATAGGAGTTTTGTGGAATATTTTTGATAATACATATGTACAACTGTATATGTGTTACTAGAATTAGCATTTTTTATTGAGTTTTTAAAGATTGTGTGACCTTAGGCTTTCTAGTGTAGTTTACCTTTGTAAATTTGGTGGAAGTAAGTTAATTTATGACTGTAACAGTGCCATTAAAAACTACATAGTGATATTTATCATGTTGGTGATATTAATGGTGAATTGTTAGTGTTTCTATTGCTTGTTTCATTCATATTAATTAATTAATTAATGGTGCTGGGGATTCAACCCAGGACCTTGCATGTGGTAGGCAAGTGCTTTATTGTTAAACTAATCCCCAGCCTGAATTTCCATATCTGAGATGATATGCATAGGATTACTACCCTATTTTATTAGTTTATTTTAAATTTTTTTGTGGCACTAGGGATCAAACCCAGGACCTGTGCTTGCTAGGAAGTCTCTATTGCTGAGATAGATCCCTAACCCTACTACATATTTTTTATTTTTGGTACCATGGATTGAACCCAGGGCCACTTAACCACTGAGCCACATCCTCAACCCCTGCTACATATTCTATTAGCCGAGTTTTCTATTCTTTGGGGATTCCTACTCTTTCTTCTACTGTACCTAACTGGGTTATATTTTGAGTACCTTGATAGTTGGTATCAGTTCTTTTCATACTAATGGTGGAGAAGAATTAACAGAGCTGTTAAGAGCATGATGTCTAGGACCAAACTGCCTGGCTCAGTATCCGAGCTCCACTGCTTATTTGCTATGTGCCATTAAGGCAGGTAATTTAAGATGGAGATGATAATAGTATCTACCCATAGGCTAGCTGTAAAGATCAAATGAGTTAGAATATGTAAGGCATTGAACATAGTGCCTGGCATATGAATTGCTCAGAAGATATTATTATTTTCTTCAGACATCTATATTCACTGATATTCTTAAATAGCCACTGGTTCCATCTTTCCACTTTAGTATAGGCAGTAAAGGGCTGGTGCTACCAAATGGGTATAAAGTACCCATCATAGCTGTCAGGACCATCTTACTGTGGTCCTCAGAATTTGAAGAGAAAGAATCATAGGGATCCAGTCCAACATTTTGCATTTGACTAGTGCTGCAGTGTCCCAAAATTGACACATACAGTGCACATATATAGTGCCATTGAAGAGGGAGGTATCTTATTGCTTGAAGTTAAGAGTGATGGCCTGTGTGATATTCTGTGGATTTCATGATCCTTTTTTTATTTTCAAATTATTTATTTGCCTTTCTATCCATACCACCAGGAATATAGAAGTAGGAACATAGGGAATTTAATACCTGTGTACTTTAAAAAACAAACAAAAACCACCACCCATTTTTGTAATTACTCTTTGAGTTGATATTCTAAAACATTTCCTGACTCACAGGGCAGTTTTGTTTTTTTTTAAGCCATGTGTGGATGATAACTTTGAACAAGTTGACCTCTTTTATAAAATGGAGATAAAAGTATTTCTACTTTATGATCACTGTGCAGATTAAATGAGATAGTAAATACTAAGTTCTTAGAACAGTTTTTGCAAATAACATATTGAATATTATCAATAACAGTGTTTATTCTTGAATGCTTTTTAAAGACTTGCATGGACAAAATGCTATAAAATAATTTTTTTTTTTTCCAGAGGAAGTGGAATTACCTGCTGTGGCATCAGTCAGTGCTTCAGTAATTAAATCACCATCAGATCCTTCACACGTTTCTATTCCTCCACCTCCACTCTTACTTCCAGCTGCTACCACAAGGAGTAATAGTACATCTATGCCCAGTAGCATTCCCAACACAGAAAATAAGCCTCCACAGGCTATTGTTAAACCACAGATCTTGACTCATGTTATTGAAGGCTTTGTGATTCAAGAAGGATTAGAGCCATTTCCTGTAAGTAGCAAGCATATTTGTGGGTTTTTAAAAAATTATTATTATTCACATAACATTATTTTTTAAAAATTGTCTATTCTTCTATAAGAGAAAGCTTGTAATTTTATTTCAAAAAAAGTTGACTTTATCTGGAATTTAACATTCTACACACTTTACATATGTAACTTCCAAATATATTTCTACAAATTTTATGCTAGCTATTTAGATGTATAAAGTAAGGAAAAAAATGAAAAAAATTCAGAGTATAGAGGCATTACATCTGAAATTTTTAGAGTCAGATAGTTGGAAGTTTACTTCAACAAAATAAACCTTTTCATTTTTTCTTTTTGACGGAATTGAAACAACACTTAGTACATTATTTTAAGAATGGTATTTTCTTTATGTGATTTTTTTGTGAGTTTTAACTTAGATACAGACAGTATTAACTTCTCAGTGCCCTAACACTTGAAGTTTACCAATTTATCATTTATAATTACCAGATAGTTTTCTTCCTAAATTTCAGCCTTTGACCAGATTTTTTAAATGCTTTAAAATGTTCACCTCAAAATGGAGGTATTCTATCACTATGAGTTTTACAATTTGAGATTAGCTGTAGCTGTATGTAATTTATATGATAATATCTAGAGATGAAAATTTTTCCTTAGAAAATAAATCAAGGACAAGTAGACATGTAAAAACATAAACTTCTCTTGAAGATCTTTGAATCATCTATTTTCAGATTCATGGGTGAAATTTTTTTTTTCAGTTGTAGTTGGACACAATACCTTTATTTTATTTATTTACTTTTATGTGGTGCTGAGGATCGAACCCAGCGCCTTGCACGTTCTAGGCAAGCCCTCTACCGTTAAGCTACACTCCTAGCTCCGAAAATCTGGTATTTTGATAGTTGCTTTTGTGGTGTTTTCTGCATGTGTATATGTGTGTTAATTTGGATTTCTTAATATGTTGGTATTGTAGATGGAGGAAGTCTTTTCTCCCTACTTAAACAAAACCATATGTGTAATTAAAACGTTTTTTTTGGATCCTGGTTGTGCTGCATACTGACCGATTTTGTAAAGTTATTCAACCTTTCTGGTCTTCATTTTGCTTGTCTGGGACATGGAGATGTTTCTTTACTCTTAGGGTTGTTGTGAGAATTAAACGTGCATACATTATTCTGTGTAGTGACTGACACATAATAGCCATAACAATTATTCTTTATTATCACTAATGATAATTAGAACTTTTGTTTTCCAGATTGCACAAGCAATATACATGTTCTAAATGAGAATTTGGGAAATGTATAAGACCAAGTAATATCACAGTGTGTGTATGTTTATATAATCAGAATTGTCATTATTACCTATATAGTCCTACTTTCACATCATAAATTTTGTGCATTTATCATTCCATATCTTTTTTAAAAAGAGATCTTTTTTAAACTTTTTTTTTTTTTTGATACTGGGGATTGAACCTAGGGTCACTTTACCATTGAGCTACATTGCCAGCCTTTTTTATTATTATTTTGAGACAGAGACTCACTAAATTGCTGAGGCTGACCTCAAACTTGCCATCTTCCTGCCTCAGCGTCCAGAGTCGCTGGAATTACAGGTGTGTCCCACCATGCTGGGCTCCCTTACCATATCATTAATAACACTTTGGAAAAATTTTGTAAGGTTTCATAATCCACTTTATTGACAACCATAATTTATGTAATCCTCCCATCATTGTTGTATTATTTTAACGTTTTCACTGTTGAAATAGTTCTGTGAGGCTGGAGGTATAGGTTGTGTACATGCTCTAGCATGTGTGAAGCCCCCCACCACCACAGAGAAGAAATTCTGAAAGAATTCCTTTTATATAAACCTTTGTCCTCCTTTCAGTAATTTTTTTAACCTAAATTCATAGAAATAAGATTATTTTATCATATTACATATAGCCAAATGACCTGATATATATTGTAAAATTATTTTATGGAAAGATTAAATTTATTCATCTGTGAAAAGTATATGGCTTTGGCAGCACTGAATATTAGTTTCTCCCATTCAGGAATAACTTCTATAAATTTTTTTGAGGCAATTCAATATCTTAATGAAAGAAACAAAATTTTAAAAATCTGTTTCATTTAAAATGCTGATAATACTCTAAAGTTAATTTTAGAAATTTTCATTAAGCTGTGATTTCCTTATGTGTAGCTGATACAAAAGATTTAACCAGCAGTCTGGAGAAGAAAGATATTCTAACCATCCTCTTTTCTTTCTTTCTTTTTTTTTTTGGTACCGGGGGTTGAACTTGGATGCTCAACTACTGAACTACATCCCGAGCCCTATTTTGTATTTTATTTACAGACAAGGTCTCACTGAGTTGCTTATTAGTGTCTTGTTGCTGAGGCTGACTCTGAATTCTTGATCCTCTTGCCTCAGCCTCCTGAGCTGCTGGGATTACAGGCATGTGCCACCTCACCTAGTATCTAATCATCATTTTTTAGCTTAAGGCTTACCTGGAGAATCAGTAAATGTGTGTGTGTGTGTGTGTGTGTGTGTGTGTGTATGTGTGTGTGTTTAATTTCTCCTGAAAATAGTTCTGAGTATTCAAATGAGTATTCATGATAATCAGGTAACTAAACATTGTGAATATGCTGTTGATGTTAATGTTAACAATGTTTAAGGACTTTCCTTTTGTGATTTCAGTAGGTTAGGTTGCTGACCTACTAGAAGTTAGGAGACTTGAGTTCTAGATCTGATTTTGCTTTTATAAAGCAATAACCTTAGTCCTTTTAAAGAGTTTCCTTATCTGGGGCTGGGGTTGTTGCTCAGTAATAGAGTGCTTGCCTAGCACGTGTGAGGCACTGGGTTCGATCCTCAGCACCACATAAAAATAAATAAAATAAAGGCATGCTGTCCATTTAAAACTAAAAAAAAAATTTAAAAAAGTTATAAAATATACACAATGTGGGCTGGAGGTTATAGTTCAATGGTAGAGTGCCTGCCTAAGCATGTGGGAGGCCCTTGCTTTGCCCCACTACTTAAAAAATATATTGTTCATCTTTTATTTGTGTTGCATTCAGATGGAAAACACTAAAGTTTCTGAAGGAAAAAGATTAGTCACCACATAGTACTTGAGAGAGAATTGTTTAATTGAGTAATGTTTTTTAAAGTTAACAAAAGAGCTGGGGGTATAGCATGGTGATGGAGCTCTTGCCTAGCAACCTCAAGGCCCTGGAGTTTAGTCTCTACCACCACAAAACAAAAACAACAAAGGAAACCCATCCAGCTCCTAAATGTACTAATGGTTATAGCCTTGCTTGGTGTTGGGCAGAACTACTGAAATATTCATAGTGTAGGATAACCTGCACTATGTTTGTATTAATTCTGGAATTACTAAATCAATTACTTGCCTAAACTAAGACACTAGTTTCCATTTCACAAAGACTTTGAAGCCTTTGCTCTGCTGGTAACTAAAAATAAGGTGTTTGTGTTGAGACTTCACTCGCCTGTAATCCCAGTGGCTCTGGAGGTGGAGGCAAGAGGATTGAAAGTTCAAAGCCATCCTCAGCAAAAGTGAGCACTAAGCAACTCAGTGAGACTCTGTTTCTAAGTACAATACAAAATAGGGCTGGGAATATGGCCCAGTGGTCAAGTGCCCCTGAGTTCAATCCCCAGTACCCCCCCTCCACACACAAAAAAAGAGACTCCTTAATCCTTAGTTAAAAAATGAAGCACTAAATGAATGGAGCCGATCACTGAACAAGTAAATTTTCACAAGTATTGTTCATTTCAAGAGATATTTTAATCAAATTATTTCTAGATATCTTTTAGAGATTATTTCATTTTATTCTCTTTCCTTTTTAAAGGTGAGCCGTTCATCTTTGCTAATAGAACAACCTGTGAAAAAAAGGCCTCTTTTGGATAATCAGGTGATAAATTCTGTTTGTGTTCAGCCAGAGATACAGAATAATACAAAGCATGCAGACAATTCTTCAGACACAGAGATGGAAGACATGATTGCTGAAGGTGTGTGGATTCACTTAAAATACCCTTTAACTTGTACTGTTTGAAACAGGACATGGATTTTTACTCTTCACAGATTTTTACTTAAAATTTTGCATTTTTATTCTCATGCAGTACATTATTTGACTAAAATAATGAGAAAGCTAACCAGACTTGTAGTGACCAAATAATTAAAATAGCAAAATTGGTGTTAATTTGTACAATGTGTTTGACATTTGGGAAAAGTTTCATCATGTATAAGAGAAAATAATTGTAAGTTTTGCATCAAAGCAACAAATTCTTCTTTTTCTTTTCTTTTTTTTTTTTTAAAGGAAACTTAAGTAATAAATACCATTTTACTGAATTTGCTTAAAAATTTAGAGCTTCTGGGTTGTTTGGCTTTAGACTTTCCATATTTTGATGGGTGAAACCAGGTTGTATTGAAATTATATGATGGATATACTCTTCAATCAATAGATGATTACATTTGTTCAGAGATAAAAATATCACTAAACCTCCTTACTGTCAAAGAATCTTCTAAAATAGACTTTATTTCAATAATGAATAGTCCATAGAAGTCAAACTGGTATTCAGAATGACTGAAGGAAAACACAAATAAACACAAAGTTTTGGGTTTTTTTTTTGTTGTTGTTTTTTCAAATGAGATTCTGAAGGTCTACTTTTGTTAGACTATTATCCTTAAGCCATATATCTCTTTGGTATCTCCCCCTCTCACCAGCAAAAACAGTTTCTTGTTCTTCATAAGGTATTCTAACCTGTTATCAGGTATTATATATTGTTTTGTTAATGTTAAAATAACAACTTTGAAGCAAAGGTTTGGCTGTAGCCTGATCTTGGAACAACTGAAGAAATGGACTCTTTAGGGTTGTATCAGTAGTGTAGTGGTTAAGTGAGAGGTTCTATCTCTGTTATAGGCTTTTCAAAGTTCGATCAGGTGATAAGCATAACAAATATAATATATTTGGGAGTTCTGATATTGTGTCCCAGGAATGTGTGGTAAGATGTTCTGACTGGGACACAACTGTGTCACAACTGTCAAAATCATCCCTAAGTCATTGGAAGGAATGATTTTTGTGTTTTTTTTTTCAATTGTGTTGAGACTGTTTCTTCCTTATTGCAAATAAATTGATGACTTCTGCTTTTGAAGTCTAAAAGTCTAAAGACTTTTAGAATTTCCTTAAAATAGCCCCTTAGGGGCTGGGGTTGTAGCTTGGTGTTAAGAGTACTTGCCTAGCATGTAGGGTTTGATCCAGAAAGGAAGGCGGGAGGGAGAGAAGAAAGGAAGGATGGACAGATGGACCACTTTTTAGTTCATGATTTTAATAGATAATATATTTGGAGTCCCATAGTGTCAAATATTATTTCAGAGTATGTTTTTCTTACTGCCTTAAACTGGGATAATGTGAGTGGCTGAGCTTACAGAGTACATGCCCTTCATATTTACATTTTTAGAGTCCCTGACTTCATCTTAATAAGTCTTTATTAGAGTAATATAGAAAGAGTACATATGAGCTCATAGCTAAATGATTTAGAGTGCTTTTTAACTGCATATTTTATATGACTTAGCATAGGAATTATGATGCAAGAAAATGGTAACATATGATAGATTTACAAATTTAACAGGTTTCACTAAAGTATTTCTTGAGCACTTATATATCTTATTACTTTTAGTTCTTATGCGAAAAATAGGAAATGGAACTGTCACATTTTTCATGCCTATTGTCTTTTGGGCACTCATTTGTTACTTAAGTTCTTTGGGAAAGGTATTGTAAGCTCCATTTTACAAAGAGAAAACTGGGTCATGAAGATTAAATTGTTTGCTTATAGTGACTGCTTCTGAGTATTTGAGGATTTAGTTTGGAAGCTTCTGTAGGTTCTGGCGTGTGGTCTAAAGAATAAAATGTAGTGGTAGAAGGAGAACATTCTACTTTAATGGGAAGCATGATGAAAAAATTATCAGCTGTTGAGAATTATGAAACAATTTGTGATTTTTTTAAAGGCTTAATCTGTTATTTTTTATTAAATACAATATAACTAATAGGAACTGTTTTACAGTTAGATATATTTATCTTTATATGTTCTATCATATATCCTAGCAGCTCTTTTAGAGTTATTTTTATATGCTCTTTTAATATCAGACATATCAAAAATGCACAATTATGAAGTTATCCTCATACTTTCAGCTAGAATTAAGGCTTCCCTACTATATATCTCCACAGCACAATTTTTTAAAATTCACATCTCACACAGTTTTTTGAAAGTGTTCTTTGTGGAGGATAGTGATTATGTCTTATTCATCTTTGTTTCTCATAGTGTTTATAAAGTTTTCATATTTTAGACATGCTGGATCTTAGCAAAATGAACCTTTAAAAATGTTATACTCAGGCTGGAGATATAGCTCAGTTGGTAGAGTGTTTGCCTCGAATACACAAGGCCCTGGGTTCCATCCCCAGCACCACAGGAAAAAAAAAAAAAAAGGAAAAATGTTATACTCATTTATATAGAGAAAAAGTCCATATGATTTTTATGTGGAAGAAGGAGGTGGTTGTTTTTGAAGGCTTTGGCTCTGCCAGAGGGACTATGAATTAAAAAGCAATGGACTATTGGTCTAGTAGCAGTATTTAACCCATATAGAGCTAAAAAAAAATACGCTACAATTAACTTTTTGGAACTTTTCCCCTTTGTTTTATTTTATTTTATTTTTTTTAGAGACATTAGAAGAAATGGACAGTGAATTGCTCAAGTGTGAATTCTGTGGGAAAATGGGATATGCTAATGAATTTTTACGGTCAAAACGATTCTGCACTATGTCATGTGCCAAAAGGTATTTCTGTATTCTTGAATTCCCTAAAGGACAAGACAATAACCGCTGCCAAAAAAAAAAAAGCCTCTTGTATAATTTAACAATAGAAAATGTAGATACTGTAATTCAGAGGAATAATTAGGCATTATATGGAGCTACATTGATATTATGTTACTAGATTATGCACTGTGAAAATTACCTATTCATAACACTTAGAATCAGTTTTACAGTGTAATATAATATTGAAGTATACCGAAATGGTTTTTAATCATCCACTTGTTTTACCAGTACTGAAATATTTGGATTTAATTTATTTTAAAGTGCTTTCATTTGTTTGAATCATATTCTATACATATTTTAGGTTTGTTATCGAATAACAACAGATAAGTTCTCCGCATTGTTAACATCAGACAGAAAAATATCTTTTCTAAATTAATGTTTTCAATGGTAATTATTAGACAAAGAGTATTAATAGCAAAAAAAAAAAAAAAAAAAATGTTGTTTCTTCATTAAGCTTGTAACTCCTAAGTGTAGTATTATCAGTACCCACTCTGATATTTACCACTAAAGTTGATTTTATGCACAGGTTGGTTATTTTGAAATTCTCTGTTCAAAAAAGTAATTCTCTTAAATTCCCTCAAAGAATTTAAGATCTTAATTTATATACACCAGTGAATTTCTTTCTTGAATATTTTATTTTGTATTGGTGCCACCAAAGTATACATAGTAAAACTCTTATTACTTGTTTCCTCCAAAAATGGATTATTTCACTTGTCAGTCTATTATTCAAGTAGTCTTTCATATTGATAGATCTGTAATAAAATTATATTGAACTCATGTTTTAACTTAAATTCTTAATTTGCACATACCACAACATGCAAAGTTTTTCAGAAATTTGTTTCTACGATAATTTTGTTTTATTCTTTCTAGGAGTGAGTTGGCAAACTCACCCAGAACAAGTTCTTCCTGCTGCTTATATATTTCATGACATGTGAAAATTACATGAAATTCAAATTTCAGTGTTTAAATTGAAAAGTTTTATTGGAACACAGCCATGCTCATTTAGCAGTTTCTGTGGCTGCTTTCACACTACAGTGACAGGGATGAGTAGCTGTCATAGCCCATAAAACCCATGGCCCTTTATAAGAAAAGTTTATCAGTCTTTGTTCTAGGGCTCTGAGATCTCCTAGATGGTGTAAGACTCTTTAAAACAGCATCATGCCTTATAAAGATCTGTGTTCAAAAATATTAGGCAGTCTGTGGATATAAAAGAAAAATAAACCAATTTTAAAGAATCAAGATGTCCTTCCAAATTTCCTGAATAGTGAGCACAGTGCATTTGTTGTAACTTTGAAATTCCAACTTTATATATTTTTACTTTGATTTTTATAATATTTAAAAAAATTTACTAACTGCTTGAGATCCTCCCTCTACCACATCAATATCTTTTTTATTAATCTCTCTTCAGAAATTATTACTTGGGAAAATACCAGTTTGAATAGATTCTAAATATTTACTACAATTTTTTTTTTTCTGGAACTTTGAATGTTTTTGTTGCTATAAAAATTAGTTGTATTTTACAGAAAGGTTCTCACTATCATGATGTAATCGGTATCTTTTTATAGGTATCCAGTGTTATATTGAGATGTATTATAAATACACAAATCCATTGACTAATTTGGGCTTTATTTTATGAGGTATTATGTTCCTTAGTGAAGAAAAGGCACTTCCTGATTCATAATTGCACTTTAAGTCATAATTAAACACTAAATGGAGTGTCTCATGTCATCATTTAATATTTTTTTCTCATTTGAATTTCCTAGGTACAATGTTAGCTGTTCTAAAAAATTTGCACTTAGTCGTTGGAATCGTAAACCTGATAATCAAAGCCTTGGGCATCGTGGTCGTCGTCCAAGTGGCCCTGATGGGGCAGCAAGAGAACATATCCTTAGGCAGGTCTGTAGAAACCTTGCTTTAATATACTGTACCCTTTTCAGAAATGGCAAAGAAAATGCAAAATACAATGCTGTATTTTACTTGTACTACATTTTCCAGCTTCCAATTACTTATCCATCTGCAGAAGAAGACTTGGCTTCTCATGAAGATTCTGTACCATCTGCTATGACAACTCGTTTGCGCAGGCAGAGTGAGCGGGAGAGAGAACGTGAGCTTCGAGAAGTAAGAATTAGGAAAATGCCCGAGAACAGTGACTTGTTACCAGTTGCACAGACAGAGCCCTCTATATGGACAGTTGATGATGTCTGGGCCTTCATCCATTCTTTACCTGGTATGTAATTCACCATTTTGACTTTAATGTTTTTCTTGTGTATTGACACTCAGGAATGATGTTAGATCCATCCATATTTTTGCACAAAAGGGCTAGAGAAATCTGCGTGTATGTATAAATTAAATGGCATTTGCTATTGAAGTTTGATCTGTTTCCTCTTGCTTATTCCCTCAGCACAACTGGGTATTTTTTCATACCCCAAGTCGATAAAAACTGACTAGTCCTGCTTCTGTGACACCCCAGCTGGTGAAGATATTAAGGTGCTCTCTTCTCTTCAGTATTAAGGTGCTCTCTTCTCTTCAGTCTGATTTCTCTCGAGAGGTCAGTAGAGAGATTGAATCAGACACTTCTTCCCTTCTACTCTATTTTTCTATTCTATTTCTTCTTATTTCCTATTTTAACCTTTACAAAAATGAAATGAAACTAGTATTTTTTAAACATTTTTGAAAGCTAATAAAGACATATAAGATGATAAAATTTTGGTTTCTTTTTAAAAAATCAAGCTGGTTCTTTTAAAGGAAGCAGCATTCTTTAATTCCTTTCAATAAACAAACTTCAACAGTTGAAATTCAGTTATTGATTCTAATATTGAAGGTAATCTTCTTATTTATGTTTTCCTGTTCTCTCAGTTTGATACTCTTTCCATCAACTTAAGTCTCCTTTTTTCTTTAAAGCAACAATAATCTTCATATCCACTCTCTCCAAGGGGTGGGCAACTAGAGACATCAGTTGCTCATGATGAGACCTGTACTGTTTATATATGTTAAGATGATATATTTATTTTAAATCAGCAAATCTTACTCACTTTGACTTTAGAGTATGGTAAATGAGATTTTAAAATGTTTCCTCTTGGTTTTGTGAATCATATTATTTTTCTTGATTCAAGATTTCTAGGATAATATATCTCATCAGAATTATCTACCAGACTCCTATAAACAAATTATTTAGCTATTATTGCTGACTTTCTGTAAAGGTGACCAAAGTCTCAGAAGAACACTTACAGCTAATGTGGTATGCAAGAAAATATATTTAGAAATAATTTTAAAAGCTGCTGCCCGTTTTAACTTACATACAGAACTCTGGTGTTTTATTAAATATAGTTTTTATAAAACTTTTATAAAATGTTAAAATATGGCCATTTTAATAGAAAGATGGAATTGTTTAAAGCAGGTATACTTTTTTCATGTGAAAATTTTAAGCATATGCCTAAGAAAACTAAGGTCTGAGTTAATTGCCCACCATGTGGGTTTATAACCTGCTTTAAATTCAATATACTAGAGGATAGTGAATCTTCATTGGTTGTGGTTTTAGTATTTAATAAAACAAATTTTACTCTTGGGACCAGTATAGTTGTCTTAGGAATTACACTGGAATCTGTACTAATCATCTGGGGTTGCACTTTGATTCTATCATCTTCAGTAGTCCTCATCTTCCAATTGGAGCATGTGATCTATTTGTGAGTCTCCTTTCTCATTTGGGAGAAATACTCCTTTCCTTTTGGAGAGGAGAGTTGGTATACATCCTCAGGAAATTAATTGCCCAAATAATTAATAAATAATAGCTATTAATGATTCTTTTATCACTTAATGTGGTTTTTTGGGCTAATTTTCCCAGGATCCATTTGCTCTATTGCTACTATTGGCTGCTTTATTAGAACATAGGCCAACTTTTTGTGTCCCATTCGTGCTTCATTTGAGGTTAAAAAAAAGAAATTCAACTTATTACTGCTAAACTTGGGGTGCTTGTCAATGAGTTAATCTAGGCACTTAATTTTGTTTTGAGTTCTTTAGAGAATATTATCCTTAAAAGGAGACTGCCTTATAATTTATAATTTCTTGGTGCTGTTTTAGAGTCTACTTAGTGTAACTCTTTCCCTTTACTGATAAAATGGGAGTATTTCTTGACTGCTTTGACAGGCCAGATAAGCAGCTTATTTCTGTGATCAATTACCCCACCTTTCTTAAATTTTTTCTCTGAATAATGCCTGTAGCTTAAGGTAAATCTTATACCAGGACATGCCTGTATCCTCTGGGCTTTGTGAATTTCCTTTTGAGTCTCTTTTACTTCATTCAGGACTGTTTATTTTCTTGGAGTAGTGTCTTCCCAAGCTTTTCTCGTGGTATGAACATGCTCATCAATTTTGTAATCTCTTGTATTGTTTCTTTCCAGGGTAGACTTCCTTCCCCTTCTAATCAGGGCACCTCTATTTTACTGCTAAGGTTTTCTGTTCTTTTTGTATATCATCTTGTTAAACATTCTGTTGGGACTGTTTGTGCTTACATGTAGTACACACATCTCTCAGAACTGTCACCACAGTTAAAAACTGTCTTATAACTTCTCATGCATTAAAAAGTTCTCTATAAGAACAATTCTTATTTTCAAAAAATTATGTGGGTTATCTTCTTTAACTCTTCCTTGTGTGGTGAATTACCTTTTGAAAAGATTATTCTGTATTATGTGGATCAACAAGATTTCTCTACAAGCATGTAAAATAGGGAATTATTTCTTCAAAGTACGAATATTTAACTGGTATTTTGTTAAACTAGTTTTGAGAGTTGTTTATTCTGTATTGAGTGATAAGTGATCTTTTTACTAATCTTACTAATCAGTTTTTATGTAGGGCATTTTTTAAAATTTTGGGTTTAAATGGGGAAGTGATTCTGTTCATTTGTAGGGATCATTTGAGACCTAGTGCAAACGTCTCTGTCCATACTGAGAACTACACTGTGCTTGGTTCCCCTGAGGTAAAAGCAGAGCCGACTGGTTGCTTCAGTTGGTGTATATTTATTGCACATTACTGAGTTCCAGCCATTTTACAGAAGTATAAACTAATGTCAGAAGCTCACAGAACTTCAGTTCACTGTATCTTGAGCACTTGGTTTTTTAAATGTTTTTCTACACTGAGTTTTTAGAAGTGTATTCACTTCTGTTTCCCTGTTCCCCTGTTTTAAAAGGCACTTCATTTTCTCATATTTATACTAATGTAACTATATTTTTTGGAGGTTGGCGTAAGTTAGTTTTGATCCAAGTTTCTCAAAATATACTTTCCTGTCTAACGATGCTGTTTTCCAAATCACTTTTTGTTCTTTATTATTTTACCAATACTTTTACTGTCCACCTATGAAAAGACATCTGATCTGCAGAGGAATCTCTCAATGCAGAGGAATAAGAGCGTGCTATATATTTTCCTTATGGAGAACTCATTTCTGTTCCCAAATATAGCTCTTATGGTCCTCATTACTTCTCATTGCTCCTGTTTTCTGAATCTAAGTTCTATCCTATCTTTCTCTTTCCTTTCCTGTGTTCTTGTAAGTAAGACTGAAGAGAGAAGAACACTAGTTCTTTCATAAAAAGAAGGATGAAGTCACAACTAGATGCAAGATTAGTCAGTTTTGTCTGCCCAGTTTTGTTGAGAGCTACCTCTGGGAAAAGAAAAGGGGCTTTTCTATGGTGAGTAATCTTTCATCTCTATAGTTTCTTTTAAATGATACATGGGCAAAACCATAAACATTCTGTAGAGGGTACCAAAATGCTGACTTTAAAAAATCTGAGAAATTATTAAAATAGAGAAATTGAAGGGCTGGATGCCGTATAGGAAATAGTAAAGATAAAAACAGGACACAGGAAAAGAAACAACTAAGAGAAAAGGTGGCCTCACAGCTGAACACAAAAAAAGTGATTTACTCTTACAGATAATTCTTCTGTAGTAGAGTATATTTTTGTTGTTTATATTTTATTCACTTATTCAATTCTTCACTCATTCATAAATATATGTATTTTGCACCTAAAATGCTTTGCGTTTGGTGCTGACGTTATTAAGGTAGGAGACATCTCATACAAACGAGAGGATGATATATTTGCAATAGAAGACAAATATTATTCTAACAAATTGTGATGGCCAAGGTGTAATGTAATCATTTCTATTCTTCATTATCTTTTAGTTTTTTTTTTTAATTTTAATTTTTTTTTAGTCATACATGACAGCAGAATGTATTTTGACATATAATACATACATGGAATGTACATACATCTTTTTGTTTTTGTATTTTCTCTTTGAATGCTAATTGAGTAAAATAAAAACACTTTAAAGTTGTTAAGTTTTTAGTTCATTTTCATTCTTTCTTCTTGGCTTCATCATTCATTTCCTAACCTATTGGTTTCTTTACCTCTAATACAGAAGTTACTGAGTAACTTGGATGTGCAAAAATTTTGCTATATACCAAAAACATTTGAGGCTCAAGTGGACACTAGTATTGTTACCTGCTAAACCATCTGATTTAAACTGAATTAAAATATTCGTTATTTGTCAGAAGATTGGCATGGAAGTTCATAATTTCAATGAGAATGTGTTTCTTAAGATTTAAGGTTGAAATTATAATTTTTTTATACCTTTATTTTTTTATGTGGTGGAGGATCAAACCCAGTGCCTTGCATGTGCTAGGCAAGTACTCTTCCCCAGCCCTGAAATTATAATTTAAGTAGCATATTTCAGCAATATTACAATACATTGATAACTATAATCTCAAGGGATTGGGTCTGTCCTGAGTGAACAATATTTCAGAGATACTTGGCAACAAAGATTATAATTTAGAATAAGGTACAAATGATAATGAAAATGGTATTCTGATACTTAAGAAAATATTTCCAGATTATCATTTAAATAGCAGAACATTATATTCCTTTTAAATTTTTTTTTGGTTGTAGTTGGATATAATATCTTCATTTTATTTATTTATTTTTATGTGGTGAGGATCAAACCCAATGCCCCGCCTATGCCAGGTGAGCGCTCCACCACTGAGCCACAACCCAGCCCCAGAACATTATATTTCATTCCTCTGTACCTATATGTGAAGGATATATTATACAAAGCTCATGAGATGTATCTGCTAGTTAATCCAAGCATGTGTGGCATGCTTCAAGGTGATAGAGACCTTTTTATGAAGGAAACGTTATGATTACTCTGTACATTTTTACCTCTATTTTTAGAGCAAGAATTCCAAGGAAGTCTCTTTACACAGATTTTGAATTTTTATTTTCAGAATGCCAACAAATACTCTCTTTTTCAAGGATGAATCCCAGGCTACTGTATATAAATTTCATTTGTTTATCAACTTGTATTTCAGATTCTTAGACCCAGTGAGAGTATAGCTATTGCTGTTAGGAATTATGTCTAGTTGTCAAGTATTTAATTCTAAACTCCGTCCTCTGATTAAATTCCAGGTTGTCAGGATATTGCAGACGAGTTCAGGGCACAAGAGATTGATGGACAGGCCCTTCTCTTGTTAAAAGAAGACCATCTCATGAGTGCAATGAATATCAAGCTAGGCCCAGCCCTGAAGATCTGTGCACGCATCAACTCTCTGAAGGAATCTTAACAAGAACAATAAGGCTTTGATATAACACCAGTTTTACTCTTTTTTAAACAGACTTGTAAGGTAAAGGCCTAAGTTGGCCTAGAATATTACACTTATGATAGATGGCCAAGCACACTGGGAACTCCACATCAAGTGTTGACATTTCTTCTACAATATAATTATTCATCATACATTTTCATGATTAGTCAACATTGGTAAAATTGATTTTACAGGTTACATGTAACATTGAAAAAGCTGCTATAAAGGGCCATGGTATTTTTCAAAGAAACATGTTATGCTAGATAATTTTTAAAAGTGATGTTTATCATTAATATAAAGAATTCTTTTGAAAGTAACTTGATGATTTACACTTCTCTTTTGATTCACTTTTCTCATACATTTTTGTACTCTATTCATTCTCTAAAGGTTGTCATAAAGATATGGAATGATTTAGGAGTCCAATGATGGGATCATATGCATTGAAATATCAGTTTGCGTTCTTAAAAATGTCTTTAACAAGTGCTCTAAGAAAGGATTGTGTTCTAGCATAAATGATACTGATCTGGAGGTCAAAAGAGTTGATTTCTATTTCAGATAATTTGGCTTGCCTGACAAGTTTTCCTCTCAGAGTTTGTACATTTAGAGCTGTGCCTCTTGATAGAGATTGGTTTGCTCTCCAGGGAACATTTGCCAACATCTAAAAACATTTTGATTGTCACAGATCAGAACTGAGTTTGGGTGAGGTTGCTACTGATGTCTAGTAGGAGGCCAGAGATGTTACAAAATGTCTTACAATGTGTAAGCCTACCACAACAAAGAATTATCTAGTAAAAAATGCCACCAGTGCCAAGGTTGAGCAGCGCTGATGAGGAATGAATAAAAAATGTTAATTCTTTCACTCAAAGGAACATTTTAAAGAGATGGCTCATAATGAGGAAACATGTGTAATGGAAGTATTATTCAGATAGCATTAATGTTCTGAAGTATTTTTCCAGTTTATTAAGCATAATAGAAAAAGATAAATCCATAAAATTGGTCTGTCAAATAAAGACTAGCTTACAATTTGACACTCAGTACTGATTCATATTAGTTATCTTTCTTATCTCTGTGCTGCGCACTGATGAAGGCATGATATAATTACACTTAAGAACCAGGGCACCATTTTCTGGTAAGGAAGTTTTGGGTGGATATGTGATTGCACTTTGGATTTCTTCTAGTATTGAACATGCACATTCCTTTTTCCTTTACTAAATCTTCGCATGCTTCCTGCAGAATACTTAACAAGTGATTTCTTTTGGATGATCAGATCTAACTTAAAAAAACTATGAAGCAAAACTTTTTCACTAACTTTTCAGTTAGTTTTCTATAGAACTAGGACACTAAAAAAATTGTGGAGTCCTGATAGCTTTATAGTCTTGGGTGTCAAATGTTTTATTTGAGAAGACTGTGAAAGTTTCCGTCATTTCCTATATCTTATCTTTTACATGTGATTGAAGGAAAATACACTGATATTTGGCCACGAAGTTCATTAAGTGAAAACAGAGAGTCCGTGAGTTTCAGTCATTTCACTGCTCTTTTCAAAAAGATTGCGTTGAGCTAGTAAAAAACTAAAGATGTCACAAGACATCACAGATATTTATCTTTTGGCTTTGTGTACATTAGAAAATGTTGATTATTTTTATACAAAAATATAGCGGGTAATTTTTTTAATCTTTAGATGCCTCTTGTTTGAATGTATGCTTTGTGGGATTCTTTGTGTAGTTGTTTTTAAAAAAGATGTTTACTGATAGTCATGTGTAGGGTTAGAATGTGTAATATAATGGAAGGCTCATGTTCCAGACCCACAATAGCTTATAGTCTATGTTACATATTTCTTTGTATCACAGTTTTAATTATTGGATTAAAGTTCAAGGAAAGGTAGGTACTCTACAGTTTTCATTTATTAGTAGTTAATCATCAGGACATAATTGTGATGTGCTTTTCCCCTCATCTTGCAATTTCAGAACATAAACATATGCTAAGCAGTATTAAGAGATTGTCCATGTATGGAGGGAGGGAGGCACAAGGGAAAATCTCCCCTGGAATTAAAACTTTATTGTAGTTAATCCACAGTTAATATAAAATTGATTTTTCAGGGATAGCTCCTCTAGCAATAATTATTTATCTCCCATAACTATTTTGTTTATAACCTTTAAGGTATTAACTTTGAACTATGTTGAAAGTTCCTTTTATTTTCTTCTTCTACTAATGTAAGTTGTTCTATACTGGAAAACCCCTGTGCCCAGAGGAGTTTCTGTTGGAGAACACCTACTTATGGTCCTTGTAATTCTGTTGTAACCCACTCAAAACATACCTAGAAGATAAACTTGCTTTTTTCAAGTGAGTTGATTTAGAAATGGCTCATCTGTTTATCAACTGGTAATTCTCCCATTGATGCAGCTATTTCTTTCTAGATGATTTAGTCTTCTTAATTTCAAACCTTCTTATAGATAATGGATATATATGATACTGATCGTCCACCTCTCCTGAAGTTTAGGCAGCTTCACTATGATATATGTGGGGAGAGTGCTATTGTTTTCATTTCCTTTCATATTACTGAGTGTTTTAGGGTTTTGGCTAGGGAGAAGGAATAATAAGCAAAAGGGAACATGGGGGATTCTTCCTATTTTTGCTATCTAAATTTGCATTTTTTAACTTCTTTAAACTGTTGCACTCTTTTCCCATTGGGGGTGGGGGGAAGACCATAATTTTGAAATGTTAGTTGCTTTAAGCTTTGTGTTCCTAGTCAAAAACCTTGAAAGAGCTGGTTTGTAAAAATTATTTTTATATGACATTAATATGCATCAAGCTTTGTGTAGACATGTGTAAAACACAGCTCTGCAGCTTTGATATAATCAGTACAGTAAAAGAGTTGTTGTCATTCTTTGGCATATCACTTTTTAAAATTTGCTATGGAGTCCTTTAAACAGAACTTTAAGTCCAAGTTTAAAGGCCACCTAGGGATAGAGAAGGCAGAATGGAATTAAAGAAATGTTAATCAACAAGCTTGAGAATGGGAAAGCCACAGACCAGGACATTGGCCTTTTTGTTATTGTTGTTGTTAGTTTAGCCCATTTCAACACTGAACAGATTGTTTTACTTTTGATGTTAATGTTCACATTTTACCTAATTTAAGAAGGAAATGATATTTTAAAAGGTATTCCACTGTTTATTTTTGCTTCCTGGTATGCAGAAACACCCAGAATAATACCTAAAACAGGTATTATTGTGACCATGCCTTTGAATAATTTTTTGACATACCTAATCATATATTGTGTGAAACTATACCAGACATTTATTCACAAAGATAAGTCTTGGATTGATCTCTGTCTTATAGTGCTCCAGCTCTCACTGACATGTTCAAGTAAATTTCTTAAAGCCTAGTATATTTTCAAGGTTTTGGTACCACCAAGGCACAAATATAGTAGGGAAACAATGGAGTTGTATAGTCTTAGCCTATGCTTTTATGTGTATTAATTTTGGAAATTATTATAGATGTAAGTGAATGAAGCTGACATTACTACTGTGTCCAGTGGGTAAAATCCCTGACTGGAAACCCTTAAAATATTTTAAAGTTAAGTTTTCAACCAGAAGATGCTGGTTATAATTTGTGGTTCAAAGACTCTCATCCTTGGTGAGTGGCAGAAAATACATGTTGCCTACTGGTACTGAGCATTAGCTGAGGGCCTGAAAGGGCTTCACCTCACTTCCTCCCCTAAAGCCTCCAGCCCCCACCAAAAACTGCACAAAAACTTTTTTCTTAGACCTCTGCTTGAATACCCGGAGAGGATTTTGTGATGGGGCTGATTATAGAGGTAGCTTGGGAGGCCTAATGTCTAACAGTTATGTTTCAGTAAAAACTTTGGGGCAATGGAGACTGGCCCTTCTATGCAAATTGTTTGCTCAGTCTGTTTCTCATGCACAAAATGTGAAACTAGTTGTGTCCTAAAGGTTTTGAAGGGGCAGGGGAGGGGTTGGAGGAAGAAGTGGAGGAAGAGACCAAATAGGAAGAAAAGCATTCCAGAACCAAAAGGATCTAGAAGAATTTACATTACATGAAATCATCTAATGTAAAGGTGGCCTTCATCAATAGTTCAAGATAATAAATTATAATTATTTGATTCCAATTTTAGCAGGTTTGTTTTAGCCTTTCATCTCCATGAACAAAACACCCGACATTAACAACTTAGGAAAAGTTTGTTTTGCAGAGGTTCTGTCCATGGTTGGCCAGCTCCATAGCTCTGGGCTCAAGGTGAATTAGATCATCATGACAAAAGGTGTGTGGTGGAGAATAGCAGCTCAGACAAGGCAACCAGGAAGCAGAGAGAGCTCTATGTTCACCAGGGACAAAATATGAACTCTGAAGGCACAACCCCAGTGACCTACTTCATCCAGCCCACTCTGCCTGCCTATAGTTACCACCACCCAGTTCATGCATATCAGTGGATTAGTCCACTGACTAGGTTACTCCTCTCATAATCTAACCATTCTTGCATTGTCTCATGCATGAGGTTTTGGGACCTCATACCTAAACCATAATAGGGTTCTGGTTTCTTTATTTTTTCCCCTTCTCCTCCTTTCTTTCTTTCTTTTTTTTTTTGGTAGTGGTGGTAATGGGGGTCCTGAACCCAGGACCTGAAACTATCCCTGAACTACATCCTCCAGCCTACTATCATTTTTACTGGGTTAAAATTTGCCTATAATCAAACTCACTGTTTATAGCACCAATGATACGTACACTAGTAATTTTTGATTTCTGAAGATGAAAGCTATTATAGTTGAATATGTCAGAGATTCAAAGGTTCATTGTTATAACTGAGTGGCCAGAATTATGGAGTTTTCATTTTCAGATACTACAGTTGAATCACCTTTGTAGACTTGTTATAAAGAAAGGTATTTTAAGATAGCATTTTGTGGTTGTGTCTCAGTCTAAGAATTGGGTGACTAAAAGCTATAGTTTTCTCTTTACTAGTCTGAATTTCATTAAACACAAGCCTACCTCTGTTTCTTTGGTGCAAAGCAGAATGGATTGTGACATGCACTATTTAGCCCACATTCATTGATACATTTTATAAATTTATTTAGAACATTTGATGAAATCAAATCAGATTGTGGTTAAATTTAGATAAGCACAGATACACTATTAGGAAAAATTAAATATGCAATCTTATTAAGATTTAATTTCAACCCATTAAGCTGTACATCTTAAAAAACATTCTTTGGTTACATATCCCTCTTTTCTTTTGTTAGAAGATTATAAAACATGCCCTATAGTTTTCTTCATAGCAGCAGTACAAGCCATTTCTTTGATACAAAATGTTTAAAATTATACTACCTTCTTTGGAAAAAGTGTTTCCTAAAATTTTTTTATAATTTCCAAAGTTTTACATGTTATTTTTAGAGCTTATTTAATCTCTTTTAAATTATACTATGAAAAGTTCTTTCTGAAAGTTGTAGGGCACTAATACAAATATAATCATTACCATCATATTCCAGAGAAGAATGGGGAGTCCCTTGCAATCATTTTTAAAATCTTAAATTTAGCATCTTAATGCAAGCTCTTCATTTTACTCAGACACATGCACATAACCCTTGCAAATGTCATGTTCATGGAACTTTTAGAGAACTATCTACCACAAATGCTATTTTTTCCCCTTTTTGTAGCTTGTGAACAATTTTATTTTCAGATGACAATTTTAATCAAATGTTAGATAAAAGATACAGAATTAGTTTGGTTAAAGCTTTATACTTTAGAATTTTTTTTTTCTACTGCCTTTTGAAAAATATAATTCTCAGTGATACTGGTGATGTTTAGTGAGAATCCATAGAAGAATGTGTTGTTTAAAAGAAGTATAGTAGTGAGTGAATTTTAATTTGGAAAAAATGAACTAATTTTAAAAGGTTCTTATGCTTGCATGGCATAGTTTTAATTAAATGTAAAAGTAATGCAGTAGAATTCTTTTTAAATTGCTAAATTAACTCCACTAATCACCTTAAGGATTGATAGCTGCCATCATTTATTGGTTGAAAAGTTAAACTTCATGGCATGTTGTTGAGTGTTAAATCTATGTTTTGTGGAGCTTTAACTGAGGGCAGTGAAAAAGCTCATGCTTATATGAGAGGTGGGTGCCCTTGAAGTAAATATCAACCTATTTTAGAAAGGATTTTTTTGTGCTTCAAGTAAACTAGAGGTGTCCAATGTTTAATTTTTTTTCATAATACTTAAAAGTATTCTTTTTCTTTGGATAGTATTAAAAATGAGTAGAAATAAATCATATACTTACTAAATTAACATGATAAGCGAACCTAAAACACACTGGCTTGGAGACTGAGTTTTGACTTAGTTGGTTAATTAGCTGTGTGTGCACTTTGAGGTAACTGTTTTTAACCTCTTTGAATGTGCAATGTGGTGCCTACACTCTTCAAAATGTTGATTTGGATTTAAATCATCATTTGTATACCTCTCAGCTCTAAAGTTACTATGGTAGGCCACAAAATGAGATATTTTTAAAGTTGCTCCTACTCAGTTCTTTTTTGCTTTTTAATGGTTCATTTGATACTTAATTAGTAAACATCCATTTTCTGTGTCACTTACTTGCTCTAAGGATTGAGGTAGAAAATTCATACAGACAAGGAAATGAGGACCTTTTTCTAAATGCTACCTATTAACTACTGAACATAAAAACACATATGCATATTGACATTCATGCACTTTCATCCATTTAGCAAACCATCTGAACACTTATATTGTTTATGGAATACACGATGAAGAAACTAGTAAGTAAAATCTTCCTGACCAAAGTTCATTGTGGCTTAAATGAACAAGGTCATAGTTAGTACTAATTAATGTACTGAATGTAAACTTGGAACTGAGGGGGAATTTTTTATGCTTTGGGTAAAAGACTAGATGGCATAAGGGGTTTGAATCAATCACAGTTCTTGTAACATTTCACATACTGCACATCAACTGACCATGCACCTGATAGGCTACAAAATTAAGGATCCTTTAAGAGCTTATATTTTGAGATTGTTGTGATATCTTTATTTGGTGCTTGAGTGTTTCAGAATTGTGGCTGTACATGGTGAGTGGTAGAACAATGATTTACCGCACATTTTTAACTACAAAGGCTTTCTATACAGTATTGACACTGTAGCAGTTTTTCAAAATTGAAACGTCTCAAAGGAAATCACCAGAATAGTTTTTTTTTTAAGCTAGAAAGATTACAAACAATAAATCTTGTTGTATTTTAAGGGTATTACAGATAGCTACCTTTTAAAAATATATGAAAATTGGTAATAAAAAAGCCTATGTATTGCATAATAAAAGGGTGCCCTTTAAAATGCAGAACTGCTGAAGAAAAAACAGTTCCCTGCTTGAACTGGCAAGAATCCAGGAAGTAAACATGGAATGGGAAAATCAATTAATTGGGTAAAATTCCCTTGTCACTCTGGGATTCTGTGAATCACATTGTAATTCTAGCTTTAAACATTAACATCAATTGACAGTAATATTCTCTATAAAGATATAAAACGAAAAACTATTTTAAACTTTTATGCATCAGAGTTGCAGCTTTTTAAAGCAGGAAAATGTCCAACAAAGTGTTCATTTAGAATCTACATTAGACTCTTTCAAACTGTTCAAAAACACTTAACTTCTGAAGTAGCCAGATAGCCTGGGTTTTGTAAATTGTTCCATGAAACTAGTTAAAAATTACTTTTAAATTTTTAATTTTTAAAGTGTTCCTAATTTTTCAGATATTTTATGCTATTGAAATGCCTACTATGTATGTACTTTAATATATGTATATATGTTCTTAAATTTTAAAAAGTCAACTGAGTGCAAAAGATGGTGCAATTTTGGATATATAATTCCCACATTGTTTGATTAGATTCCCAGTCACCTCATTTAAAAAAACAAAAAACGTTTTGTTTTTCCCATAAAGGGGGAAAAAGTCAAAGTTACAAAAAGTATCTTCACAGTAAGGATTACACTTGCAGTGAAGGCTGGATGTTACAGACTCCAGTGCCCACGGATAGGTGCTGCTTCGGTGGAAAGGCTTTTCAAGGCTCTTGATTAAATCAGTACCTTTTGACTTGTTGCTCATTAAATTTTTGTTAATTTAACAAAGGCAAATTGTTGTGAAAAATTGTTTCAAAAATGTTGATGCTTCAAGTACATTAACTAGTTTAATTATTTCTTTTGGTTCCTCCAGTTGTTCTAAAATAGGACTTTCATATTATCAAAACCTCAAAAGATGACCTACCTGGGATGAACTGAACAAATTCACCAAGGGAGAAGGAAAGCATTTTTTATCTTTACTGAAAAAAATTGAGATTATATATAGATGTATTCTTACATTGGACATTATTAATAGAGTCCTCCTTATGGGAAATGGAATAGTTTTAGCACTCTTAGCATTAGAATTCCTAGACTGGTGTCTATAGCTACAGTTTTAAAATGTATAACCTGAAAATGAAGTTAATTTTGCATTATAAGAGCACACCATGATCTATGTAAAAAGTGTTCATTTGGTGTATTTTTTTAAAAAAAGAGAAAGCACTTTCATATTAACAAGTAGCATGTGTATGAATTTTAGATTTTCCTGTTGTGTCTATTCAGTGAAGTAAGATTGAGCATTCAAATGTTTGTTGATGGCAACATTAACTATTAAATGAAAGCACCTTATACTCTGCTGCTTAAATTTGCTTGTAATTGCACCTTTGTTAAACCTGCACATTTTCACATAGAATGTTGTTGTAACATTGCTTCATGTGGGTCTGGATAGAAGATAGTGGGCCTGCAGGATCATTTATTTATATTGTTTATATTACAATAATATATTGTAGACCATTGTAAGTTCATTTCTTTACAAATAAAAGCCTCTTCCATTTGGCTGGTCTATTGAATTCTTTTTTCTTTAAGCTTATGCGATATGGGGAGAGATTGTAAATAGTTTAAATTCTGATTTGAAATCTGCAAAGAGTATAGTTGTTACTAGTTAAGCTCAATATGTTTAAAAGTATTTCATTTCTACATTATGGCCAATTGGAAGACAATATATATATTCAGAGGAAAAAGTAACAATGAAATAAGAAGATCCAGGTTTAGACCTTTCTAAACCATTTAAATATATACCCTATTCACTTGAAAAAAAGATTACTTCAACTGAACTTTGGATACAGTTGGCTATTTGCATTGTTTTTTTAATAGAACATGTGATTTTTATTCCTGAATTCTATTTTTAAAAAATATTTTTAGTTGTAGATGGACACAATAACTTATTTTTTTGTTTGTTTGTTTTTTAATGTGGAGCTGAAGATCGAACCCAGTGCCTGACACATGCTAGGCAAGTGCTCTACCCCTGAATTACATCCCCAGCCCTGTATTCTCTTTTTTTAAATTGTACCATGCAGTATAGTGGTTCTCTTCTGTTCGGTATCTGCTGTTATCAGACCGTGATCACAGCAGTGTGTAAATGATTCAAGTCAAGCCAAATAGTCATTTCCTGAGAGTTTACAACTGAAACTAGGAGGTGCTTTAAACTGGAATAAAAGTCCTTGGCTGTTGGCAGCCAGAATGCCCACCGACAAAACTGGAGAAATTCCTAGTATTTTACATCATCATCTTGCCAATAAAGAGCTTTTTCTTAGAATAGCTCAGATTGGGTTTTGTATTACAGGTGGAGTATTCCTTATCTGAAATGCTTGGGACCATAAAGCTTTTCAGGTTTTGGAATATTTGTATATACTTTACTGGCTGAGCATCTCTAATTCAAAACTCAAAAATACTCCAAAATTCAAAACTTTTTTCAGTGTTAATGCTTAAGTTTCAGAATTCAGAGCATCCTGGAGTAGGGGTGTTCAACCTGTACTCAGAATTCAGTTCCTAAATTCCCAGCAGCATTTTCCATCTTGTCCTCCTAGGTGGCTAGTGGTAACTAAATAAATGTGTGCTCAAGGAAATGATTTTCTTTACTATGGCACCTCAAATCCGTAAGACACTGCAATTTCAACTGAAAAATAATTAGGAAATCACATTCTTTACATTTGACTCTAACAAACCATTCTTTTGAAAAACAATGAGTGGGAGCATGAACTCTGGAGCTAGACCTCTAGGTTTGACTCTCAGCTCCCCTAATCATTAGCTGTGTGATCTTAAATGGGTTTCTTAATTCTGATGTCTTAATTTCCTTATCTGTAAAAACGGATAACAATAATACCAATCAGAGAGTTGTTTTAAGAATTAAATCAGTTGCTGCATTTAAAATACTTAAAACAGTTCTTGGCACACAATGCTTCCTAAATCTTTGCTGTTATTAGTGCTCCATAGCACTTGTTTTAGGACATTTTCAAAAAATGGAAAGTAATCCATTTGTAGATCATGAACTCAATGGGTTACAATTAGCATTTGTAAAAAATGACACTAATTATGTATAATGTAGGGATAAATATTTTTATGACACATAAACTTCAGTATGTATATAAATGAATATCACTCCTGATGTAAAAAAATATATATCTTACTATAAATGTGAAAAAAATCCCAATTTTAAAAAATGGTTTAGATTCATGCAACATATATTAGTATATGTAAATGGTGATTAAAGTAGCTACATAGCTTAATTCATAAAGTGAACTGAGATTATTCTGCTACTCACATTGCTTTACTCCAATGGTTCTTAACTGGGAGCTGTTGAGCCCACCCACCAAGGGAGGTTTAGCCTTGTGTAGACATTTTTCATGGTCATTACTGTGGAAGAAGAGCTACTGGCATCTGGTGGGCAGAGGACAGGGATGCAGCTAAACATCCTACAATGCACAGGGCAGTTCCCCACAATAGTTATCAAGCCCTAAACCTCAATATTACCAAGAATGAGAAACCCTACTTTACAGTGTGATATGTTGCTAATATGATTATGATTTGATATGCAATTATGTGACAAATGAAAATGAATCTAGTATTTCATGAAAGAGACCTAGTCACTACTCCCAATTCCCAGGGTAAACAGCTGAAATTCTTTTCCAATTCTTCCAATAATATCTGCATTAAGAACCAATATATTTTTTAAATTAACTAAATTAAAATGAGCCAATCTCCTTCATTAAATTTTATACCAAATCATTTAAATAAAATAGTCTTGACTTTTTTCTCTAAATTTGATAAAATGTTTATTAAAGTTGGTAATGAAATCTCAGATTTACATAACATTTGCATCCACTTTTGGGGGGCAATACAAACATCAATGTGGCCAAACGTTATTATTTAACTTTTGTATTAATAAGCAAATTAATATTTATAGTGTTCCTGAACAGACTTTAAAAACTTCTTGGCATCTATTTTGTTTTTAAAAGAAAATACTACTTAATAAATATAGCCCTAAAAGATATGCCAAAAAACCTATAAAAAGTTAAGGGGAAAAGAGCTTCTGTTCTTTTTTTTTTTTTTCCGGTATGTCCTCAGTTGCCATTCTTACTAGTACAATTCTGATTCTTGTTGTAGCTGTTTTAATTAGTTTTAACATGAAACATTAACAAATTATTATTGATATAGGCTTTTCAATTTGCTCAAGATTATTAATTGTAAGTGGAATAAAGCAGCATTTCCAGTTGACGAACGGATCCTTAAGTAGTGTGATCTCTCTTAAGTAAACCTTGTGACAATTAAACCAATAAATTGCAGCAATGAGAAAACTGTTGACAAAGTACAACCAGGGAATGTTCATCTCAATATATGCTGGAATTTGTACTTTAAATAAAATGATGACAACCTGAAGTAGTACAAATGGCAACCAGGTACCAAGAAAACAGACAATAAGCTTGGACAAGAGTATTTTTTTAGAGTTCACAGTATAACCAGAGTGGGATGAAAAGGGAAAATATAGTATAGTTTCATTCTTATAGGATGTTATCCTAATAGCCTGGATCAAGGTAATAACTTCTGACCAAGAAGTTATAAAAGCCACAAGTAAAATCAGCATCATGGAAAATGATAGCCAGTAACTCTGAATGCTGACATAAAAAGGACACTGGTAAGAATAAACATTCTGTGCCTTCAGGCTTTGGTAAATAGCTGGATCTCCCAAAACATAAACAAGGACTGAAATCCAAATTAAAATAACGATGAAGAAATAAAATAACTTTTGACACTTAGAAGAAAGCTTGTTGGTTTTAAAGAAATTCAAGCAATAATCTATACAAGCTATCAGGAAAACCGGGTAATGCAAAAAGCCATAAGTAAAGGAAATAATTTGAGTAAATAGGCAGATGTGATATTTAGTAAACCTAATGCCTAAAAGAATAAAATCTGTGAAATAGGATATAATGGAAATGTTCACCAAAAGTAAAAGATCGACGAATGCTAGTGAAATGCAAAAATATTCCATAAAATTTTGATAGGTGTTTTTTCTTCTCATTCCTAGTGTGAGGATATTCAACAATATTTTCCCAAGTATGATCAAATACAACAGACTATTAACATCTAGAGGATGGTCTGGTTGGTGTAACTGGTACTGAAAAGAACAGTTCTCTGGAGAAAGAGCTGTCATAGTTTTAGTTTTATTTCAAGAAGACCTGCTGAAATGCATGATAAAGCACTGCTGCACTTTCCATCCCTGAAAAAAAAAAAAAAAGCGAAAAGAACACTTTGATGTTATCTTAATGCTGTATCTGTTTTAAAACCTTACAAAGCAAGCACCTCTTTCCTTGAGGGGAAAAAAAAAAAACTAAATCATTTTCCAAAATAAGTAAATATATAAATAGGAATTCTATTTCTCATATTATTTACAGGATATAGAACGTGATCAAGAAAAGTTAACGTGAATACACTGGTCATTTTTTGAGAGCCATACATTCCAGAACTCTGATATGTAAACTAAAATTTGTATATAAATGACTAACTTCTATATTAAGTTTTAAAAACTTGTGAAGGAGATAGAGAAATACTTTTACTTACTGAAGCCAAAACACATGCTTAAAATAGTAGCCTGGTGGTAATACTCAGAACAATCAATGATAGTTCTCATACAGTCCCACTGACTCTGAACAACATTACCACCACCCCTTTTTATCTTCCTGGCAGTGAAAGTAAGAGTCTATGCATATGCATCCTTAAGCATAGCAGTTTTCACCTATTTTTAGCTGCAGGATCATCATCTAGATGAATTTTTTCTTTGAAGCTCAAACATTTAAAAACAGATGGTTCAACTGAAAATAATGAGAACATATGAAAAGGAAACAAGGATATTTTCTGGAAATGATCTTTCAGGTATGGCCCCTGAAGAAAATAAAGGGAAAAGAATAAGATTCAACACAAATAGATAACTGAGGACCTTAAGAAGTGGTAGGAAATGCAAAGAAGTAGGAGTTGAGGGTTGGGTCATTCTGCATTTGAAAGCAAGAAAGAAAAGTGATGAAGTCAGAAAGGAAGAAATTAGGAAAGAATGGAAGAAAGGAGATTAAAAAAAAAAAAAAGGTTGACTCAAAGGTATTTCTGCAATACTGTTTAATCGCTCTGTAAAGAGCAAATTCCCACCCCAAGAAACCAAACCAAACCCAAACAATAAGAACAACAAATATCAACAACTGGAGACTGGTTAAAAGTAATATTATGATATACTATTATGTACCTAATAAGAACATTTCTCGGACTGGGGTAGAGCACTTGCCTAGCACATTCGAGGTCCTAGGTTCGATCCGCAGCACCACATAAAATAAACAACAACAAAAAGTATTGTGTACAACTATTTTTTTAAAAATTAAAAAAAAAAAAAAAAACATTTCTCTGCTCCTTGCGTGGCTGAGGCAGGAGAATGGCAAGTTCAAGGCCAGCCCAGGCAATTTAGCAAGACCCTATCTCAAAAAAAAAAAAAAAAAAGGCTGGGGATGTAGCTCACTGGTGGAGCATACCTGGGTTCAATTCCTAGTACTGCAAAGAATAAAACAACAAACTCCCACAAAAATTTTTTTTTCTCAATATAGGAGGAAGATTTAGTTTTCTACTGAAAACTATCCTTTCTATACTTGTTCAATCTTAAGCCTTGTGAATTTTTTAATTGTTAAAAACATGTCTTCATAAAATTTTATAATGTTAAGTGCAGGTTATATAATTATGCAGCAATACATAATCTAATTCTTATAATAAATATACATGCATAAAAATGATTAAAACAGTACACATCAAGTTATTAATATGGTAGAACTGTACTTGTACATTTTCTGTATTTCCTAAATTTTACACGATAAAATAAGGGAATAGTGTGTTTGAAAAGGAAAAGAACTGAATTTGACTAAAAGCAAACCACTGATGATTAAATAAATCCAAAGGAGTAGTGAAAAGCTTGAGGGTAAAGAAATCAGAGAGAAAGAAGGCTGTCAGGTTTGTGGACAGATTGAATTCTTACAGGGCCATAAATCTATTGTCATAAACTTACCGTTTATTATACACAAATGATCCATCTGCACACACACACACACACACACACACATATATATATGTAAAGATAGTTATAAAAATGCAAAAGAACCAGTCAAGCTAGTAGTTTCCTATACTCATTTTTTCCCCTATAGTCACACATACTACAGTGTTTAACCTGACTTAGTCTAAAGAAGTTCCATGCCAGATTTGGAGGTAAAAGGACACAAACAGCTACCCACTTGACAACTTGGCAAATGCCATTGGCCTCATAAGTGGTGTTCCCTGAATAAGAAGCCTAGGTGGAATGATCAACCAGGTGAAGTCTGGGGACCAAAGGAAAAAACAAGCTTCATTTTAAACCAGCTAATGTTGGTTTAAAATGGACTGAGGAAGGGAAATACTATAGGTTCATATTTATAAAGACCATTATTTAAGAGAAGTAAAAAGAATCATCTGCATTATGTGATTTTTATAGCCTCTATTCCAAAATAAAACAAGTAAAGCTAAATAGGCACCATCCAAGGGCTGGTTCCCGAGTTTTCATTTCATCATTGAGTCAGATGGAGTCCACTGGAAGTCCACAAAAGCTGGCTAATATCTACAAAAACCCAATGTGTCTTAGGGGCTCAGAAAGGTCTGCAGAGGAGGAGGATCAACAATGCTCACCAAGAGCCTCTGCGGAAAAGGACCAGATGAAAGAAAAGCCTAAAATAGAGTTTGTAAGGGAATCATAAAATTAGAAGAAAATAAGGTTCAGAGAAGATTTACAACTGGAAGCAATGAAAGTAATCAGAAGGAAGTACACTGGAAAATGAAATTTGGGTCATTTTACAATGGTTCCTGAGTATCAGGATCACAGAAACCAATCAAAATGTTCTTGAATGAGACCAGTTTTATATCTGTACTCCAGTTCTCTAATAACCACTAAAAGTATTCAAAGTTACAATATTTTGTTCTATAAACTGGCTCCCAGAAAAAAAGACAAATCCTTTAATAAGCTACCCATCCTTAATTTTCCCATGGAAAGTATTCATAGTAACTACAGTGATACAGAAATCTATAAAACATGGCTCGTTTCCAACATGGTTTTTAAGTATATTTGAATCAACTCATATGACACCTAAAAAGTTACTGTGGAAATCCTTTACAAGGCATCTTATCTCTTCTACAGGCTTGCTGAGTGCTCTGGCTCCCTTTGGAAGGATTAGACTCTGGGAAACAAACCATTCACTGACCCAATTCATTTTTAACACACCATACTTACTCTCCAAGGGGTCCTCTTGACTAATGGTCCTCCTATTTTATGTTACTGCTGGTCCCTTGAATTCATTGTGCTATACCAAAAGGTTATGTGAGTTAGCCCTGTGTGAAGACAGAAAACAAAACAACCATTAACAGCCATTTGGCAGGGGGATGGGGAAGGGCAGGTACTGGGGATTGAACCCAGGGGTACTTCACCACTGAGCTTCATTCCCAGCCCTATTCTTTATTTTTTGAGACAAGGTCTCAGTAAATTGATTAGGACCTTGGTAAACTGCTGAGGCTGGCCTCAAACTCACAATCCTTCTGCTTTAGTCTCCCAAATTTCTGGGTTTAGACAACAGCCATCTTAATGAATGGAGTCCATCTAGTGTGACTGGCTCCAGACCCCTGCTGAGAAAAACTTTCACCTTCTGAGGGATTATGGTCCATAACTGCTTATGTTCTTAGTTTCTTTCCAGCAAAAAGGAGGGAAGAGAACATTTAATTGAAAGTTCACAAAACACAATGGGAAACGGACACACATAACATGGCATCCGTATAAAGAAATCTTGCTTTACATGTCAGATCTCACCCCCAGGCTCCAGTTAAGCCATCAGTTCTGTTTCACTTCAAAATCCTTTGACACTTGCTGCATGCTAACATAAAAAAGTTTTTTAAATGAAAATTTACTATATTTTCCCAAACAAGAAAAATATAGTGAGCAAAGTGGCAAAATTTTACACTTCACATATTGCTTTAGTATCTGGCTTACTGGCAGACAGTGGGATTCTCATTTACACTTCATCAATTAAGATCACATATATTGGATAGCTTCTAGAAAGTTCTGTGTACATTCATGAGGGCTGCAGAGTAGAAAAAGGTCAATGACTTCAAGTATTAGTGTAATCAAAAAACTGCTACATAATCTCATTTTTGTCTAAGAAAAGTTTAACAAAGCCATGTGCATTAAACAGGACTGGACTGCTACTGTGTAGAAAATGGAGCTAGCACTGTCACTGTATTCGTGAGCCTGATAAGTAGAAAGAGCCTGTGGGAGAAATAATATAGTGAGCCTTTTAGTCCTTAGAACTTCTATGTATCTTTTAGTTAGTCCTTAGAACAATCATGAAAAGTCTGTTTCCCCCACCAAGAAGAAACAGACTGGGGTTAAGTATACACATTTTCCCCAAGTGGTAAGTATTGGAGCTGAAGTTCACCCTCAGTTCTGATTTAAAAGCTTGTGTTCTCCAGTAAGACAATCAGGGACCAACTCATAACTGGAAATGTAAAAAAATCCCAATTTACATATGTGAATGAACTTTCTAAAAAAGTACCATCCAAGTTAAGATAATTATGTTAATTACTGATACCCATAGGAGACCATGACTATCAATTTGGATAATAATTTTATTCCTCTAAATATAAACTCTTCAAAATGTGGTTCTTGCTTGATGTTATGTATTCAAATTCAATGGAAAAAAATAACTCTGATAACTCAAGAAACAGATGTTTTGTATTTATCTGATTACATGGTGAACACCCAGTATAGAAAAATTAAGAAAATATAGGAAACAACCTTTAATAAAACGTCATATAATTTACCTGGTACAAAACTGAAATTACACACACAAAAACGTATACAGTGAAATTACCTACCCTACTCAATACTTCAACTTCTCCATCCTTCCCGTTGGCTACCTAACCCAGGTTCCTTTCATAGATAAAACCATTATAACTTGTACATCTTTCCAGAGATATTCTATAAGAACATTTTAAGAAGAAATTTGAAATTTCCATGTTGTTAAGGCAATTATCAAGGGATTCTTGATTTGCCCTTTCCTGAGTCTTATTTACATAATGAAAATCTGATAAAAGAGCCACAGAGTTAGAACACAACCAAGCATTAGTTAATGAACTGCAGACTACAGGAGTCATTTCCACCAAACCAATCATACTACGACTGTCCACAAGGAAGGTCAGTGATGCCAGACAACAAGAAGGGGTCACCTCAGTGTATGGGATAGGTGATTTTCATTTTTCTCCTTTGATGTAGATTATAGTGCTGATCCCACAATGAGGTGACTCATGTAATCAAAGCATCTAACTACAGAAGAGATGCCCTTCAGTGTCCTCTCTTCCTACCATATGGAGTAGACAGACCATACATTCTACAAGGTACAGCTCAGATGGGTCTTTGAGTTACTGTGTGTGGAGCAAAACTCACACGAGCAAGAAAAATATCTCTGTTGATTAAATCACAAGATTTTGTAATGATCTGTTATGGCCTATCCTAATACAATTCCTTACCATTCTCTTTGTCCTTTAAAATGTTTTTTTTTTCTTCTTTTTTTTTTTTTGTTCTAGGGCCATATCACCCTGAACATACCCAATCTTGTCTGAAATGTCTGTCTTTTAACCTATGTATTATTTACAGAATCAGAATTTAAAATTTATAAAATAAAAATAACTTTGAAAAACAGTAATATAAATATAAGAAAGTTGATAAAAATATTCAATTTTAATAACTGCTTTCACATTTCCTTCAGATTTTCATGTTTGCCTATGAATACAATGACCTAAGTTTAAATCATAAGAAAGAAGTGAATTAAATCTAAAGTAGACTGAAGGAAGGACACAAGAGCGAGCAGAATTCAATAAAATTAAAAAGCAACAATGGAGCCAGGTACGGTGGCTCATGCCTATAATCGCAGCAGCTCAGGAGGCTGAGGCAGGAGGTTAGTGAGTTCAGAGCCAGCCTCAGGAAAAGTGAGGCGCTAAGCATCTCAGTAAGACCCTGCCTCTAAATAAAATACAAAATAGGGCTGAGGATGTGGCTCAGTGGTTAAGCACCCCTGGGTTCAATCCCCCCTACCCCCCCCCCCAAAAAAAAAAAAAAAACAACCAATGGAAAAACAGAAAAAGAAAAAAAAGCAATGAGACAAAACTGGTTTCTTAAGGGAAAAAAATAAAAGTGTTAAATTCCTAGCCAAACTACAAAAAGACATCACAAAGTAAATTAGTAAAGAGATTACCTCATCATGCACACATGCACATCCTCATGTGGATAAATTTGACTCCATAAAAAACACTTCTCTTTGAAGCACAGCAAAGAACATAAAATGACAAGCTACACACTAAGAAAAATATTCACAATAAATATCTGATAATGACTTGGAGCCAGAATACAAAAGGGCTCTTATAACTCAATAATAAGACATATAGAACTTTACAAAAATAGGAAAAGATTTGAACGGACACACTGGAAAATGCAAATGAAAATAATAATGAGATCTGTGCATATCCATTAGAATAAAATAAAAAGACTGGCAATACAGGTGTTGACAAGGAAGAGGAATGACTACACCTGGACCCTCAGCTAGGAGTGGGGAGATGGAGATATATATATATATACACACACACACACATATGGGGATGGTACTGGGATGGAACTCAGGGACTCTTTACTATTGAGCAACATCCCAGTTCTTTTTATTTTTTGAGACAGATCTCGCTAAGTTTCCCAGGCTGGCCTTGAATTTTCGATCATACTACCTCAGTCTTCCAAGCTGCTGGATTACAAGCATGCACCCAGCACCCAGTGAAAACAGAAGATAATCTTTACAATCCTGATTAGGTTTATTAACTTCCTAGGGTTGCCATAACTGATTACAACTGGGAGTATAAACTAGATGGCTTGAAACAACATAAATCTGTTCCCTCAGTTTTGGCAGCCAGAAGTCTAAAATCAAGATGTCAGCAGAGCCATCCTTCCTTTGAAGTCTCTAGAGGAGAATTTTTCCTTGCCTCTTCCAGATTCTGGTGGCTCCTGGCGTTCCTTGGCTTATGGCAAGGTAAAGCCAGTCTCTACCTCCATCTTTACGTGGCCTTCTGCCTGTGACATGTCTTCCTACTGTGGTTTGGGTAGGTTTCCCAAAGATTCATGTGCTGCGGGCTTGGTCTCCAGTTTGTTGGTACTGAGGTGGCAGGACCTTTAATTAGACAGTAATTAGGCTGCTGGGGACACTGCCCTCAGAAGGGATTGCTAAAGTTCTCAAGGGAACTTGGTGAGGTCTCCTGCCAGAGGGTAGTTATAAAAAGTGAAAGCCTAGCTCCTCAATTTCTCATTTCCTTCCTGTCTTATCATGTGATCTCTTCTGTACATATTTTCACCATTGGGATGCCATCCATCATAAGCCCTCACCAGAGGCTAAACAGATGGGTACCACCCAATCTTGTACTTTCAGCCTCCAAAACAGTAAGCTAAATAAACCACCTTTCTTTATAAAGTTCCCAACCTGTTTCTTTTTTTAAAAAAAATTTAGTTGTAGATGGACACAATACATATATTTTATTTATTTTTATGCAGTGCTGAGGGTCAAACCCAATGCCTCACACATGCTAGGCAAGCACTCTACCACTGAGCTACAGCCTCAGCCCCCAACCTGTTTCTTTAATGAAAAAAAAGTTCCAACATGGAATTCTATCCCAAGCCAAATGGTCAATTAAGTATAGATATAAAATAAAACCACATATTCAAACTGCTTTCCTCACACAAACTTCTTAGGAAGTCAATGAAACATACACCATCAAAATGAGAGAATAAACTAAAAAAGAGAAAGAACTGAGATCCATGAAATGAGATGCACCAGAAGAAAGGAAGAAGGATTCCTAGGTGAAGATTAACTATGCACCAGATCTAAGTGACACTCTAAATTGGAGTTGTGAATATGACTGAAGAAATTTCTACAAGATAGAAATCCCAAGTATCTTTTGAGTGTATCAAAACAAATTTACACAAAAGTAAAATCTGTGGTTGAATAAGTGCAGCCATATATGACTTAACAATGGTATGCATTCTGACAAATGTGTCATTGGGTGATTTCATTGTGCAAGCATCAAAGTTCACAAACTTAAGATGGCTAAGATATGACTAGGCAATACTGTATAGCATTCACCATGGTAAATGCAATCCTCTGCTGACCTAAGCATTATGTGTCATAGGACCATATACAGAAAAGAATAAAGACAACTTTCAGGAAAAACAAAAATGTTGTTGAGGAAAGGACATATAATTATAGTATAAACCTTTGGTCAGCTGTGGCTAGATGTTGTAGAATCAT